GGGGACCGAAGTTAAAGGCACTGCCGGGTACGACACTTGCTGTTTTTAATGATATTGCGGGAGGTTCGTTTGATTTTATGTTTACGTACTGTTGAAAAGCCGTGTTGTTGCTTCCCGCGGCACCGCTGTTGGCCATTGCCTCCGGATTTTTCGGCGGTCTTCCTTTCCTTCCCTTTTTGGCATCCGCGTACGTAACCGGTTTCGGAATGTTTAATTCTTGCTCTCTGTTGTACGCGATTTGAGAATGAACCGTAGCCGGAGGATTCGTTACTTTGGTCGTTAGATTCGGGGGTTGAGAGTCCATGGGTCCGCAAGTTGACACGTTTTTACCGTAAATGTTGGCAAGATTTTTATCCGTGTAATAAGCGGATTGCTGCATGAGTCTTTCTTCTACCTGATACCTATCAACTATGTGAGATAAACTGGATAAGTTCGGCCGAAGCGACGCGTCCATGGGTGCCTGATACGGCACGCTGCACGGAGTCCTCGCGTCGGCACAATTTAAATTTGGTTGACCCCTCGCTAAATTAACGGAAGGCGAATTAATGACCCGTTTTTCTTCCTCTTGAATCCCGTAATTTTGCTGCTGTGGCATTTTCCCAATGTTTTCCATTCCGGGCGGGAATTTGTTGCGGAAAACTCCGTCGTGATCTTCCGTGATTGTGTTTTTATTAACAGGTGGTTGAAGCAATCGTCCCAATCCGGCGGCTTCCATCGAATTCGAAAAAGAATTCCGATTTGAATTTGCCACCGGATTGTTCACTCCCATCGGATTTTGTCCCAACCGATTGATGTTGTCCATTATGTTGCCCAAGTTTCGAGTATTGTCAACGTTTGGAATTCCGTATTTTGTTTTCGATATATTATTTATATCCGTAGGTGTTTCCGGAATAAGTTTTGGAATTTCGTTTTGAGTATATTTCTGTTGCGGATACCGTTCGTACTGTGGTGCAGATTGGGGCATTTGAAGTTCGGGTTGTTGTAGTCTGGTGTAACCTAAAGACGATGATGGATTTTCTCTCGATTCCGAGTAAATGTTTCTGTTTGCACTTGAATCCGACTGAGGCGAATCCTGAATGTTCCGCTGCGATTCGGGAAACTTGGGAGCATCATTGAGAATTTGAAGTCTTCCAGATTCGATCTCAGCAAAAACTCTCTTCTTCACGGGAAACACGCTAGACGGAGGTTTCGCACAAACCTCAGGATTCCCGTAGGGAACCGATTTGGGTGAAAAGTTATAATTTTCCTGAGGTTTCGTGTTTCTGTAAGATTGATCGGAATAATTCATCATGGAAGACATCGTGTGTTGCGATAGGTTTTCGTACAATCCCCCGGATGTTGTGATGGCGATAGAGGTAGACGTTGGATAAGTGTACGGATTGGCTGTGGAATGTGAAACTTGCTTGTAAACGTTACTAATATTTGTATTTTGAGATGCTGAAGGAGGATAAACGTGTGATGAGTAATTTTGAAAAGGTGAAGAATTGCACTGATCTCGTGGACTGTTCGAAGTTGGACTTTGTTTTTCCGGACTCGATTTTTGAAAATTAGAAGACGTGTCTTGATAAAATCCCACGCGAATCGTACCGTTAATTGACGCATAAGTTCCCTTATTTATTTCTTCTCCTTTCGGAGAAGCCATTATGGGCGAAGCAGCTATTGGAGATCGATGCAATGGCGATGGATAAGGAGCTGGATAAACTCCCAGCCTTTCATCCATACTCAAATGAGGTGATGATCCATCCAAAGGATCTTGACTAAAAGAAGAGCGTTCCGACATGCTGCTACTCGTGCTGGCTTTTCTTTGCCTAGGCGCGGGTGGTAAATTAGAAAGGGGTTGACCTAATGACGACGCCGAACCAGGCCTTATATCGGGAGAAGGCATTGGAGAAGCAATTGACACACTTTTTGGTTCTTCTATTTCGACACTGGATGGCGTTTCTACTTTGCTCAAATAATTAGACACCCCCGAATTCGGACTGTTCTTATAATTATCGCTAAACCAATTTTTATCGCTTTCTTCTTTCGATTCATTTCCCACTTTGATTGCCGATCCCGATTTCGATTCTTGAAAGGGACTCGAACACCCCGATCTCCCTGGCGTAGAAGACGGATCGTTTGTTTCTCCCTTTTTTTTAACAGCCGACACTGTTTTCGGAGCACCAAAAGCTTTGAACCAAGCGCTTAAATTTGGCGTGGGCTTGTCTTTGTTTGTTATTTCTTTGACAGCATCTCGTTTCTTATCCGGATCCGTTTCGGATTTTAATTCTTTTTCCTTGACATTTTCTGCATAATCGTTTTCTTTATCTTTCGAATAATCATTTTTAGTTGTCTCTGATTTTACATCGGGTAATTTTTTGGTAACATTATCAAAAAAATTTGTTTCGCTCATTTTCGAATCACTCTTATTCGTTTCAAGTTCTTTGTCAGCTTCCTGATTTGTTTCCGATTTGATGACTCCGTCCTCTTCGAAATTATGCTTACTTTTTCCAAAACTGATAATATCGCTCTTTAAAACGGTTCCCAAACTTAGTTTCGGAGCCGTTTCATCAGTCTTTACAAGTAAAGCATTTCTAGATTCTTTAGCTAATTTTCCTAATGACAAAGCCATGGGTAATCCGCTTTCTTCGGTGTTTTCCTTCGCCTTGGGTAGAGTTGTGATTAAGTTGCCTTTGCTTTTACCCGGTTGAAGTCTTTCAATAGTCCTTTGCACTTCTTTTCTCTTAACCGTTTTAGTAACATCATTGTTTTTTCTCTTTTTAACTCCGTCTTTATCTTTCGTCCTATAGGGTTTTTCTGTTTTCGTAACTTTTTTACACTCGGATTCGGTTATTTTATTTCCAACACCACTAAATTCTTCTTCGCTAAGAACGTTCGAGGGGGAATTACTCGCGAAAGAAAATTCGGAAAAAGATCGCGGTGTGTCGTCCAACCATTTGTTAATATCCTTAAGCGTTTGTTCGGTTGCTAATGATAAGGCTTCGATAGCAGCAACATTTTTTATAACTCCCGTTCCTTTTTTCGGTTTTCCCGGTTTCACTTTGGTAACCCCTCTCGATCGAGAATCGCTACTGTCATCTTCGTTTACATCCATTTCCGTCGCTTTGACGAGTCGTGGCGGTGAATACTCTCTCAGAAAATCGGGTTCTCTATCGTCGAAATCACTTCCGGGGATCGAACCAGACTTTTCGCTTAAAGGAGATCTAAAAATGCAATTATTTTTTATTTCATCAAAAATTTCAAAGGTAATATAAACTTTAAAAAAAAAAAAAAAAAAACTAGGTTCGGTACCTAATTCTCTGAGGTTTTAATGAGGGAGGTTTAGAATCGGAATCTTCACTATCGTATTTTTTCTTTTTATTTTCTTTATCTTTATTTTGGTCCTTTACTTTTCTTTTGAGCTTTCTTTTTTTCTTTAAAGGCTCCTTTCGTGGTTTCTGATCTTCGAAAACTGGCGGAAACTCAACTGCAACTTCTTCGTCCGACGATGGATCAGATTCGAGATATCGATCGGTCGCTTCTCGAAAAGCCTCTTGTAAATTCTTAACCATTTCTGTATATTCTATTGAAAATGAAAAAAAAAAAACCGTTTAAAAAAATTAAAATTAAACGTCTTATTGACGCCGGGCAAACCCGCGACACAAATCCATACCATTTTCAGAGCCGTTGTATTGTCTACAATTGTCTACGATAAGTTGAAAATCATTCCTGAAATCATTAAACGTTAAATACTCTCCGCAATCCAATTTTTCTTCCATCCTTTGCAAATCCATGGGTTTTCGAATGACCGAGTAATACTTTGGAGCGTAATTTTCATCTACGGGATCTACAAATGGCCAAGCTTCCTCGTGGCTTTTTATATAATCTAAAATTTTGTACATTCCGGTTCTGAGATCTTCAGCGCTAGTTTTGAAACTGAAACAGCATTAAAACTCCATTAACACAAACAGAATACGCGAGGTAAACTAAAATTACTAGAAAACTAAAATTTTCAGGAAAAATTTATTACATTACTTCACTTACGCCTAATAATTCGATTTGGATGTAAGGCAGAGAAAATTTTACCTATATTTTTCCAGAAATTTTCAAACTTTAAGAGTGGCCAGCATCGTGAGTGGAAGACATAATCGAACTGAAGAATTCGAAAAACTCGAAATAGAAAGAGGCCGAAGGATGATGATTATTGAGGCAAAAAAATTTAATTTCCAACTTACACTTGTTTACTCCTGAGTTTTTTCCGCCTGGGAGGTTGAATTATTATTTGTCCCGTCGCAGAAGCTAATGAATTATTTGTCTGACGACCGATTGATAACTGGTTATTGTCATCACCACCACCACCACCACCACCACCGGCCTCATCTCCTTCCCGTTCCCGTTCACTTCGATAACTCCCACAATCCGATCCGGACTTTGACGAACCGCGATGAAATGCTCGAACGGCTCTGGCCATGAGCCGTTCTCTTCGCTCTCTTTCCTCTTTTTCCAATTTTAATTTTTCCTCCTCTTCTCTAGCCAGTATTTTTTCCTCTTCTTCTCTCTGTTTTAATTTTTCTAATCTGCTCGATTGCCTCCTCGGTTGAAACTCCATCATTCTCTTCCTTTGCAACCTTTCTTTCTCCGCAAATAACCTTGGAATCTCTGGTAAAAAATCTTCCGTCAATGTCCTATGTAAATCCTTTTCATCTTTACACGTGGACCCTTTAAACTTCAATGCTAAATTTTCCCAATCTTGCTCTGTGTAACAAACAACTTGCCATATCCCTGGAGCGAGATCATCTTCAATATCTGATTCATATGATGTTTTATTTTTTTTCTTTTTATTACGTTTTTCCTCTTTACTCTTCCTTCTTTTCTCGCGAATTTTTTTCTTCTGCATTATTAAAATAAATAAATAAATAACAAAAAAGAAAGAAAGAAATGAAATAATAAATAATTACTAATTAAATGAAATATTTCGACTCACATTTTTAGGAAAATCTTCTCGATACAAACGAGTGCCATAAAAATACCAATAAGCCGACTTTTTCTCATCATGTCCCAATGGTTCCACTCTAAGACTGTCCGATTCCAAATTCTAATAAATAAAAAAATAATAATAATAAAAATCTTTTTAAACAATATCAATTCTGTCGTCGCAACAAACATTAATAAATCAAACAATTTTATTAAAAAAAAGTTTTTTTTTCCATTTTTTCGTCTGCATCACTAAAAATTGTGCAACAGATAAATCTAAAAATTACCTTAAGTAAATCTTGCACATCATCAGCATCTAAACGAAAATCACACAGGGCATGCAATATCTCGACTTTTGTTCTAAGCGGTAAAAATTGAAAATCAATATCTGTGTTAAACGGATTTTCCCTTCCATATTCGAGGCATTTTTGCCTAAAAAGCCTCCTCAAAAACATTTGATAATTGAATGTTGATATTTCATTGCTTTGTATACACCCACATAGTAAACGAACAATAAGTTCTTGCAATAATGAGCTACCAGAATCTTCGGCTCCATCAGTCAGCAATGCTTCCTCTAATTCCTAATAATAATAATAATAATAATAATAAAATTTAATAATTAATAATAATACTGTCAGAGGGGCTTAATGTTGAAAAGAAGAAAAAAGAAAAAAAAAAACTCTTTGAAAAAAAATAAAAAAATAAAAAAACTATCTAAATGACGTTATATAAATAATCACAATAAATGTAATAATAATAATAATAATAATTATCAGAGCAAAAAGGACATAAAATATGAAAACAATCACAAACGTATTTATTACGTTTAACTTACTTCAATATCAAAATCCAATAAATTGAAAGCTGCCCTAAAAAGTGAACAAAAATGGGCGATGCTTGGCACTTCGGACCAGGATTGTATATCTGAAAAATTACACGACAATGAAAAACGTTCATATAAAAGGTAAAATCATCAAATGGCCCGCGTTGTACTCGTAAAATACTAATCAGTTAAGGTTATATTAAATATCTTCAAGTAGGCCCAAGGGCAAAACGTTAGGCTTACTCCAAAGCCATAATTACAAATGAAAACACTCTTTTTAAAAAAAATAATAAAAAATAACAATGACAGTGTGATAAAAAAAAAAAATTTACAAAATCGTTTCGTAAATAAATACGCGTATAAACAAAAAAAAAAAAAAAAAGTAATTACCATCCATGAATAATCAATTTATTTGTGTAAAATAATAACAAACGGCACGAATCATTTTAATAAAAATCCCCTAGCCATTTCTACTGTTTGCTTGTTTTCGAATCACCGGAAGTGAACTGAGTATAAAACAAGTGAATCAACTCCGTAAAAAAAAAAAAAAAAAAAAAAAATTTTTTTTTCCCACTTGTGCGCAGCTTCCGTCCACTCCTCCAAAATGGCCGCCACCATCACTGGTGCTATCTGTTATTAAATTTTTTTAATTAAAATCAGTGACTGTTTGACTCAAATATTTACACGTATAAATGCCGCATAACGAACCTAAATTTTTTTTTTTATTCAGTGTTTATTGAAGGCTCATCTCGTTAATCCTTATTAAATTATTATTATTATTATTAATCGTAATTCTCTCTGTGTCACTGTGTGTGTGTGTGTATATGTGTCTTATACGTTATTAACTTGTTAGTACAAAAATTTATTATTATTATTATTTTTTTTTTTTTTTAGTTATTTATAATACTAATAATATTATTAACAACAGGTATTATTATTATTATTATTATTTTTTTTTTTTTTCGTGAATTTATTTATTGAATATGAAATTTATTTATTATAAATGATGAACGTCTTTACGACGACGTCGACAAAAAATAAATAATAATAATAATGCGTGTCATCAAATTACCATATTTCGTTTAATAACCAAATCACACCTTTTATTATTATTATTATTATTATTATTATTATTATTATCATCTATTTTTTTTGTTGTTTTGATTTTTCTATTGAAATATATTTTAATTTTTTTTTTTTTTTATTTTCAGATTTTATTTAAATAAATAAATAAATAATAATAAATATTAATAAAAAAAAAAATATGTCCGTTCCAGAGCCATTAAAGAAGTTATTTAGGTAATTAATATACATTTATATATATATAAATTCAAATAAATTAATAATTTATGTAAATATACACTTATGTATTTATTTTATAATTATTTATTAAAAACGATACACGCACACGCACACACACACACTTACACACAACAAATTTTCATTAATTAATAACAGGCAAAAAAAAAAACAATAGTAATAATAATAATAATTTTTTTTTAAATAAAATATTAATAAATTGTTAATGCCCATTATAATTATTAATAATGATAATGATAATTATTAAAACTCATAGTAATTTACATATATGTACATAAACATTATGTGATGATTGGTGTAATAAAATAATTCACATTATTAAAATTAAATTAATTTTTTTTTTTTTTTTTTTTTTTTTTAATAGGAAAAAAATTATTATTATTATTATTATTTAATTATCTATCTCTATCTCTCTCTTTTTAATGTGATTAAAACAAGGATATTAATATAAAAAATTTTTTAATAAGGGGGTCTTATCATCAGGTCTATAATAACACCACTTAATTATCAAACTTGTGAAGTATCATGTATCATTATTATTATTAATATTTTAAAAGTTATTAAAAAAAAATTATTTATTTATTTATTTTTAATTGAGTTATCAGTTGAAAACGAAACATCACCATCATCATTATTTTTTTTAAAAAAATTATTATTATTATTATTATTATTATTATTATCATTATCGGTATGCCACCACCGCGAACGACAAAAATATAAAAATAAATAAATAAAAATAATTTTCTCATCGTTTATATTATTATTATTATTATTGTTATTAATTTTCGAAACGTTTTATTTTTAGAAAACACAATTTATTATTATTATTATTATTTGTTTATTTATTTATTTTGAATAATAATTTATTTATTTAATTGTAAATGATAATATTTTCTTTATATAAATAAATAAATAAATAAACATAAACAATGAGAAATTGAATTTTCATTCAAAAAAAAAAAAAAAAGGAAATAAAAGAAAGAAAAAAAAGTTTTAAAAATTTCAAAACTAAAAATTTAACCGCGTAAAAATAAAACAAACAAACAAACAAACAAACAAACGATAAAACAAACTTTTAAAAACAACAACAACAACAAACAAAAAACAAACAAAAACAAACAAAAAAAAAAGCTTTACACCTCATTCATTTTTTTTTGTTTTTTTTCTAATTAAACGTGTCATTAATGAGATTTTATTTTTTTCTAATGACACATTAAAAAAGTTATTATTATTATTATTATTATTATTATTATTATTATTATTATTATTATTGCGTTTGTATGATTGTTTAAGGATTTGATTTATAATGAGAAAAGTGAAAATAATATTTTAAGTAGTAATTAAAATCCACACGTCATAATCCTCTTTCATAAAATCCCCGTGCTTAAGTTTCTCTCTCTCTCTCTCTCTCTCACACTCTCTTTAAACGTTCAGGTACGAAACCGTTTCTCTCTCTCTCTCAAACTTCTTATCAAAATTTCCTTATCATTGCGGTCACGAGTTTTTTTTTTTTAAACTGAAAAATAAAAAAAATTACGAAATTTTTCCCGCGAAAAAAAAAAAAAATACGCATGACTCTTTCTCTCTCTCTCTCAAATAAAAATCCCACGGGAATTTATAAAAAGGGGGAGGGGGGTTGGTTGTTTAGGGAGAAAAAGGGAGGAAGAAGAAGAAGAAGAAGAGGAAAAAGTATAAAGAGAAAAAGTTTTTAGAAAAAATAATAAATTTAAATTTTTTTTTTTTTCAAATAAATAGATTTCGATATCAATAATAATAATAATAATAATTGTACTTTGACCTTTATCTTGTTTATTTATTTTTCTTATTTATTTATTTACTTATTTTTTATTATTATTATTAATAATAATTTCGACACTAGAAAAATCAATAATAAGGATAATAATAATAATAATAATAATAATAATAATAAATTTATAACAACAAATTGATTAAAAATAACGATAACGTTTTAAAGTGTTTTTCCTTTTTTTTTTATTGATCGATCGATCGATCTACCGGTAGATCGATGGATCGATTTGAAATCGATATTATCAAATTTTGATTTATTATTACAATTGTAGTAGTAATAATAATAATAATAAATTATTTTAAAACGTTTATTTTATTACTTTAAAAAAAGGATATAAAAAAATAAAAAAAAATTTATTGACCATAAAATAGCCCTCGAAAATTATTGTTGAATAGAAAGAGAAAGAGAGAGAGAGGGGAGGGGAAGAGAGAGAGAAAGAGAGAGTGGAGTGTGGAGTGATTTTGGAGTTTTATGGATTTGTAGTTGTAAAATTTAGAAAAAAAAAAAAAAAATAATAATGATAAATAACGAGAGAGAAAATAATTTTTTCCTTTTTTTTTTTTTTTTTTTCAGCTATATCGAGTCACACAAAAATGATTACGTAAATAATTTAAAGGAAGCTGTTGGAATTAAATCAGTATCAGCATGGCCGAATCATCGAGGGGAAGTGGTTAAAATGGTTAAATGGGTCGAAGAAAAACTCAAAGAATTGGGAACAAAATGCGAACTCAAAGAATTGGGAAACGAAGTCCGTTACTAACTATTTCCGGTTTTTTTTTTTTTTTTTTTCGTAAAAGGGAAACGTTACGAAATATTTTTTTATTTATTTTTTTTTTTAGCCTCTTCCCGATGGATCGTCCATACCTTTACCACCTGTACTTTTGGGAACTCTCGGAGAAGACCCGAAAAAAAAAACGGTTTTGATTTACGGTCATTTAGACGTACAACCTGCCGATAAATCCGACGGATGGGATACCGAACCTTTCGAATTGATTGAAAAAAATGAAAAATTATACGGTAGAGGTGCAACCGATGACAAAGGACCCGTTCTAGGTTGGATACATGCTTTACAAGCTTTCAAAGGAATCCATTTGGATATTCCGGTTAATATTAAATTCATATTCGAGGGAATGGAAGAATCCGGAAGTTTAGGTTTGGACGAATTAGTTTTTTCAATTAAGGATACATTTTTAAAAAATGTCGACTACGTCGTCATTTCCGATAATTATTGGCTTGGAACTAAAAAACCTTGTTTGACCTACGGTTTGAGAGGACTCAGTTATTTTTTCGTCGAAGTTGAATGTGCCGTTAAAGATTTACACAGTGGAACGTTTGGAGGATGCATGTAAACAAACAAACAAACAAACAAACAAACAAAATTGAATTTGTTTTTTTCCCTATTGAAAAACGTTTTTTTCTTTTTTTTTCAGATACGAAGGAATGCCGGATTTGATTTATTTGCTAAATACTTTGGTAAGCAAAGATGGCGAAATATTAATCGATGGTCTCATGAAAGACGTACAACCGGTTACGGATGAAGAAAAAGGTTTATACAACAGCATTGAATTTGATTTAATGGATTTTAAACAAAGCGCCGGTTGTACGACAGTCAGACACAACGAAGAAAAAGTAAATGTGTTTCTTTTGTTTGTTTCTCAATATAATATAAAAAGAAAAATGTCAATAATTGCATCAATATCAATTTTCAAGATTAGATATGAGAAAAATTTTGTCGTACTTGTCATTATTGATTTTGATTTTTGTTTGTTTGTTTGTTTGTTTGTCCTCGTATAGAACACTCTATTGATGCACAGATGGAGAAATCCAAGTCTTTCCATTCACGGTATCGAAGGAGCTTTTTCCGGTTTCGGTGCTAAAACTGTCATACCGGCAAAAGTCGTTGGAAAATTTTCAATAAGAATCGTTCCCAATCAAACACCCGAAGAAGTCGAAAAAGTCGTCGTCGATTATTTGGAAAAAAAATGGAAGGAAAGAGGATCGGTCAACAAAATGAAAGCTTACATGTATCACGGTGGTAAACCCTGGTTGTCGGATCCCAATCATTTGAATTACAAAGCAGCGAGTAAAGCCGTTGAATATATATTTAAAGTTAAACCTGATTTGACGAGAGAAGGTGGGTCCATACCTGTCACTCTCACGTTCGAACAAGCAACCGGTAAAAACGTTCTTCTCCTGCCCATGGGTGCCGGAGATGATGGAGCTCATTCCCAAAATGAAAAAATAGATGTGAAAAATTACATCGAAGGAGTAAGTTCTTTCCTATGGTGTGAAGTATTTACCTAAATCCGTTATAATAATAATAATAATAATAATAATAATAATAATAATAATAATTTTTTTTTCTCTTAATTTCAGACAAAACTCCTTGGAGCTTATTTGTATGAAATATCACAATTGTAACATTTTTTCTTTTTTCTTTTCTTTTCTTTTTGTTTTTTACATTAAACCTGACAAAATTATTATTATTATATATATACATATATATAATTATTTTTTCTGTTTTAATTAAAAATGATAATAATAATTATTATATTTTTTAAAATTTACATTTGTCTTTTTTTTCTTTTTTTTTTGGTTAAACATACCTGAATTTAACTAAATAAGTAGCTCAAATAAGTTAACCAAAAGAATACAATTGGTAATAATAGTAATAGTAATAATAATAATAGTAATAATAATAATAAAATTAACAATTTTTTTTAAATTGTTTTGTTTTTAAAGCATTTTTAAAATTTACAATCGATTATACAAATTAAAATAGGGAGCACAACAAAAAAAAAAAAAAAAATGGAAAATAAAACTTAAAAGAGATTAATGATAAAAATTTGTACCTAAACAAAACAAAACAACCAACAACAATAGCAGTTATAATAATAATAATAGTAATAGTAATAATAATAATAAAGCAAATAGTTTGTTTAATAAACCTTAAAATTTATAATTATTTAATAATTTAGATTTTTTAAAAAAACCTGCCACATTTTGGGTTTTTTTTTTTTTTCTTTAAAAACTATTTTCATTATCATTATCATTTATTATGATAACTATTATTATTATTATAATTATAATTATAATTATTATTATTATTATTATTATTATTATTATTATTATAGAACATATTAAATTTTCTATAAGTCCTACACTAAAAGAAAAAAAAAAGAATCGTCGATTGATTGTATTAAAAATAATCTATATGAAAAAATTTCATGTCCGCCATATTTGTTATAATTTCCTACGTCACTTAAGAAACAAATCAAAAATCGGTTATTATAAAAAAGTACATAAACGCCCGCGAGTAATTTTAGAAGAAAAGTATAAAAAAAAACATGGGGGGGGGAATTAATTTATAAATTTATAGTAAAAAAAAAAAAAAAAAAAACCAAATACAATAATTAAAAACTACGATATTGAAATAATGATAATAATAATTAAAACGACTGTAAATGCGATTTCGCGAATGTTTTAAAATTTAGTCAAATAAAAAATAATAAAAAAACGAATGAAACAAAAAATACTATTTAAAATTCAAAAATTAAATTTTATTTTTAAACGTTATTTATAATATATTAACAAACTTGAAATAAACAAAAAAAAAAAAAAAAGAAAAATTTAAAAAAAAGAAAAAACCGTTACGAATACACTCGTAAAGTATAAACAACCAATTAAACTTCGCGTTCGATTAAAAAAGAAAAATGGCGGACAGAATTATCTCGAATCGCGCGCGATCGCCCGCTCACACACCATATATATATATATAAAAATTCGATTATTTGACAATAAATTAATAAAATTTCATAATCGAATTAATTTATAATATATTTATTAAATAAAACTTATCACGTTGTTAATAATATTATATAACCTTTTAATTAATTAATATATTTATATATATATTAATATTAATGCTGACAAAATTAATAATAATAATAATAATAATAATAATTGAAAACGGTTAAGATTTACAAAACGAATTCATTTTCAATTTTAAGATTACCATAATACATTTGAAAGCAATAATAATAATAATAATAATAATAATAACTATTATTATTATTATTATTATACAACATTTTGAAAATCATTTAGGAACTCTATATATGATAAAATAAATAATGTGAGCAAACCTGATTTTATAGATTCTTATTCACAAGGATTTTGTTAAGACGACTATCATCGAATGGAGAAAAAAATTTGGAAGCAAACAAACGGACGGTCGAACGACGAATGACGTACGATGACGTCAAGTCATTGTTGCAACAATTGATTGAAAGTGAGATAAGAAAAGGGAAGGGGAGGGGAAAAGTAAAAAGGAGGAGAGGAAGGGGGAGGGAGGGGAGGGTAAACGTAAAGTGTAAACGGCCAACCCAACCGAGAGAGACAAATCAAAATTATTTATTCATTATTATTATTATTATTATTACTACGTCTACTAAAATTTTTGCGAATTCGTTTTGCCAACATCGACAAAAAAAAATTTCCCTGCTTTTTTTTCCCCTTTTTCCCCTCCGAATACCTTTTCGTTTCTTCATCTTTCTACCACATCATTGCCGATAATGACCTTGATAATAATAATAATAATAATTCTACCAAAAAAAGAGGAAAAGAAAAGAAAAAAGGAAAGAAAAGAAAAGAGAAGAAGAGAAAAGAAAAGAAAAGAAAGAAAGAAAGAAAGAAACTTGTTTATTTCCCTGATCATGTTACAAGCTTATTCGTTAAATTTTTTTATTTTCTTATTTTATCCGTTAATTAAATCTACACTTAAAATAATAATAATAATAATAACAAAATTTAGTGCGAAATAAAACACATAAAATTTTTTTTTTTACTCATTTATTTTTATACTTTATTATATATATATATTTAATTAATTTATTATTAAAACGTTCTATATATATATATAATAATAATAATAATAATAATAATGACGGTGACGATGATGATGATGATAATATAATTGATGACGAACCGTTAAATTTTTTTTTTTTTTTAATTGCGTTCGTGTGATTCGTTAAAAAAAGTAAAAGAAATAATAATGATGATGATGATGGCAATGATGCAAAAAAAAAAAAAAAAAAAACTGGAAAACGAACGATGACGTCAGTTCGATTACGTAATAATTACATAATTAATCGTGATAAAATCGACGAATGAAAAGCGAATTAAATATATATATAAATTATTATTTTAAAGCGACAATTATATCGAGCGTCGAGCATCCATTTTGTTTTTTTTTTTTTTAACGGAACTTTCGAATGTAAAAAATTTCTATAGAAGATTATCATTATTATTATTATTAATTTTTTTGGAGGGAGAGGGGGGGATATAAATTCGCTAATAATTTTTTTTTCTTTTTTTTTTTTTTTTGTAAAGTAAAATTGGAAGCTCTAATAATGAAATATTACATTATTCGTGTTTTATCGAAACTTTTGTAAGGAAAAAATAATAGTAATAATAATAATAATAATATCGATAATAATAATGACATTAAATAATAAAAAAAAAAAAAAAAACGTTAAAAAAATTGTTTTTTTTTTTTTTTTTTTTTTTTTTTTGGCTGCACACATTCGAAAACAACAACGAACAATTCAACGGTTATAAAAAATTAATTTTGAAATAATAATAATTTTTTTGTAAAAATAATAATGACAAGCAAAGCCTCCGCGATCGAAAGGCACAAAGGAATCAAATACCTTAAAAATTTTTTTTTTCTTATGTACGGATACGAATCGTTTACGCATTTACGTATAATCAATTTGAAATTTCCCATTTAAAAAAAGAAAAAAAAAATTTTTAAAAACTTACAAAATAATAACGGAATCACATCCTCCTTCTCCTTTCTCACCCCAACAACTGTCGTAAAAAGTTTAAGAAAAAATTGCTCTTTTTAACCCAAACAGTTTTGCCAACTAACTTTTTTTCCCTCATTCCCTTACCCCACACCCACCGCCTTCTTATTTTGTTTATTTTTCAATTTGAAATTTTCATATATATATGTAAACGACGACGAGTTTCCATATTAAAAAAAAAAAATACATTAATAATAATAATTTTCTTTTACTCATCTTTAAAATGATTTGTGACGTTTTTTTTTTAATATTAATTTCTTTTTTATTCATTTTTCGAGGAGCGGGGGCGGGGGGGGGGAGAAAAATTCCGTTACAAAATTTTTCCTGATATGATAAATGACAATTACTTTTCTCTTAATGTAATTAATAATAATAATAATAATAAATTTTTTTTTGGCAAAACGTGAAAACCACATTTTCTCTCTCTCTCTCTCTCTCTCTTTTGTTCACATGTAAAAGTAATGAAATTTATGATTAAATAAAATTTTATCGTTATCCTTATCGATTGAGTGTGAGAACGGTTATGCAATTACAAAAAAAAAAAAAAAAACAAAAAAAAAATGTCTGCTTTTCTTACTTTTCTTTTCATTTTGAGAGCATTTTTACAATCGAGAGATTCGAATTGATCTGATTTTTAATAAAGCCAAAATATTAATTACTCCAAGTTAGAAAAGAAAACAAAAAAAAACAAAAACAAACCCTTATGACCTTAATAATAATAATAATAATAACAAATTTTTTCCTTTTTTTTTTTCCATTATTATTATTATTATTATTATTATTATTATTATTCTTGTTTCATTTTTTTCTTCTTCGATAATTAGTAATAATAATAATTAAAATCACCCGTAAACGAAAAACAATTAATAATAATAATAATAATAATAATAATAATAAATACAAGACACGTCGCAATCGTCGGTATTGCGAATAATGTCCCCCCCACAAAAACAATCGTTTTTAATACTGATTTTCTTTTTATGAGAGTACCTTCATCATGCCATTTACAGGTATATACAGGTTCACATATACCTACATAGGTACAGGTTTATTACATATTCGCGAAAGGAAAAAGCGTTTTTTTTTTTTTTTTTTACACTAAAATAAAAAATAAAAAAAAATAAACAACAACAATAGTAATAATAATGATAATGATAAAATAAAAATGATAATAATAATAATAATAATAACAATAATAAAATATAAATGGGAAGATATTTTCTTTCTTTCATTCTTTCTTTCTTTCTCCTTTTTTTTCCCTTTTTTTTTTTTTTTTTCCGTTTAAAATTTTGTAAAATGTAATTTAAGGGGGGAGGGGGGAAATATGTGTAAGCATGGTATGTGTGTTTGTGTGTGTGTGTTATGCATCATGTGGAAGTACCGCGTGAGACGAAAAAAAAAAAAAAAAAAAAACAATAAAAAAAAAGTAGTAATAATAATAATAATAATAATAATTAATAATTAAAAAAAAAAAAAAAAAAAAAAGAATTTATCTACTTAAAATATTCGCGATGGTGGTGGATTCGAACCGCGAACGATTGATAAAAAAAGGCAATCACTCATCTCATATTGGACCGTTTGCTGATTTATCTTCTGTATTGTTGTTATTGTTGTTGTTGTTGTTGTTGCTGTTTTTGTTGTTGCTACTTCCTATTTCCGAGCTACTGCAAGATAAAAAGACCAACAACCAACAATTATATTGTGTTATTACTATTATTATGTTTTTGTTTCTTCTTCTTCTTCTTCTTTTTAAACTCACCTGGTTTTAGTTGTTTCGTTTGGCACTGTTTGGACGTTTTCTTTAGCTAATTGATAATAATCACCACCCTCCGGTTCTTTGTCATTGCTAGTCGTAAGGCCTTTTGACGATAAAAACCTACAATTTAAAAAAAAAAAAAAAAAAAAAAAAAAAAATTAAAAAAAACTTTTATTTTTCTCGCGGAAAAGAATAATGGATTCCCTCTAAATTGTCGCACCTGGAATCGCTTTCCTCGTTAACTACTTTATTATTTACATCGCCGATAACGGACGCCGGGTTTTCCACGCAATTCGCTCCCTTTTGCTTATCGTCCGTTTTATCTAATTTTCCCGTCGGATTTTCCTTTCCCTTTTCCTCGACTCCGCTCGACTCTTTTTTTTCCCTACTACCATCCTCGTTGTTTTCCCTCGCGACTCTCTCATCTTTCTCATCGTTCAACGACACCGCTCCCATTGTTTTTGTGATGACTTCCAAATTTGTATATTCTACGGTCACGGGATTGTTTTCGATTATTTCGGGAGTTTCCGAGGGAGGATCCGTCAAACCCTTATTTAAAAATATATCGTCTATGTTTCCGTTGTTTTCGCTCGGCGTTAAATCGAGGGGCATCGTGTCCATGTCGTAGGATGCCGACGTCGCTATCGTCGTGTTTATATCCGTCGACGGGAAATTAAGACCGAAATTAACAACGAACGGAGCCGAATCGAAATTGGCCCAACCTAAATCCGGACTCGCGACCGAAGTCATGTTCGATGATTCCCACGGGTTCATTGTTTCCGCCGGTGGAACTCCTCCTCCTCCTGACATCCCTTCCCCATCTCCCGCCCAAGCTGAAAACAAATTTTAATTTCAATTTTTTAAATTCGACGTCAATGACGTCAGCATCTCCGACGACAGGAAATAAATAAATTGATAGATGAAACTCACGATGCATCTTGTCCACGTTCGAATGTTGTTGATCGTCTTTTAAAAAATTCTTGTTCCTTTCCAAATTGTCTTCGTCTTCCTCGTCGGAACTGCTGTTTTCTTGTGGTTGATAATCTCTGAAAGTAAAAATTTTTTCAAATTAACGAAAAACGTCAGAGAAAAGAAAATTTTATGACAAATGTTATACCGACGACTAAAACAAAAAAAATGGCGGCCCCCCAATTTTTTCTTTTTCTTTTTTTTTTGAAATGTTTTCAATGTTAATTATATACAACTTGTATCTAATATCTATCTAATACATCTTTTCATTCCTTACATACCCGTTATAATCATCTAAAGTTTGAAATTTTTGTGCGCAAACTTTTTCAAAGAAAACCGCTTGCCGATCTGTTTCTCCCTCAGGTAAATTGAAATTAATTTTTTCAAAATTTGGATTCTTCGAAAAACTAAAAATATTATAAATTGAAAACAAAAACTTAAAATGCACCAGAAAAAAAAAAAAAAAAAAAAAAAAAAAAAAAAAAAAGAAAACAAACAAACAAACAGAGAAAAAAAAATACAAACAAACAAATTGAATGATAGATAAAAAAAACTATTTGTCAAAACTAAATAAATCGTATCGATTGGAGGGGGGGCGGGGAGGCGGGGGGTTTTCACCACCGGGTACAAATTTTTAATAAAGTAAATAAATAAATAAATGATTATTAAAAAAAAAAAAAAAAAAAAATAAAAAACCGAATTGTGAATTATTTTGTTAGGGAGAAAAAAAAAAAAAAAAAAAAAAAAAAAAAAAAAAAAAAAAAAGCTTATTAGCCGAGTATTAGTTTGTTAAAATTAAGCGGGTATTACAAAAGAAGCGCAGATCATGGCGTTTTCAAAATTATTATTATTATTATTATTATTATTATTATTATTATTATTATTATTATTATTATTATTATTATTATTATTATTATTATTATTATTATTATTATTATTAATATTATTAAAAAACGGCTCAAAGACTTACTTCAATGCATCTTCGTCGTCGTTGAATTGATCTTCTTGAAATGATCCGAATTGGCCCGTGACGGAAGCAGCCAAATTTTGTAACTGGTAGTAATTGGAATACAACTGAAATTTTTAATAAAATTAATAAATTTATATATATATATATATATATATAAATATGTTAAAGGTTTAAAACCTGTTGCAGAACAAGAAAAGACGAGAAGTGAAAAAAAAAAAAAAAAAAAAAAAAAAAAAACATTACCACTTGTGAAAAATCTCCAAAAGAGCCATTTTTTCCCACGCCCCCATCTTTTTCAGGTAACGGATAATTCCCGCCCTTCGAAATGAACAAATAATAATAATAATAATAATTAACCGGTGGTCGTGCGCTACCTAAATTGTATTTATTGGGAATGACCTTACCATGTATGTTTCTTGAATTTCGTAAAATTTAGTATTTACAAAATTCTCCCACTTATTTAAAGTTTCGTTATCGACAGTTTCTTTCATCAAGGCACCAAAGGAATGTGTTTGAGCTCTCATACATATTTTATTGGCAATTTCTATTAAGTGACCCATGTAACCCCTCCTGGGACGTTTATACTCAGTCCTGAAATTTAAAAAAAAAAAAAAATATTATTATTATTATTATAATAAATTAATTGACGCGTACAAAAAAAAAAAAAAAAAATTATCATCATCATCATTATTTAAAAAACGTACTGCTGCGTTTCATTATCCTGCCAGGCATCTAATATTCGCTGAATTATATGGCATTTGGATAATATCTGTAACGAAAAGAAATACGGTGAGGCATATTTCGTAGCGTAATAATAATAATAATAATAATAATAATAATAATAATAATAATAATAATAATAATATAGAATTACGTTAAAAGCACTCACATGGGGAACTAATCCATGTCTTTGAAATTCTCCACTATCCGATGTTGGATATAAATTAAAAGCGTGTATCAAGCATTTCTGAACTTGAGTGTGTAAAAAATTATTCCACGTGTATTTAAAAAACAAATCGAGTAATACATTTATCGTATCTAATTCTTCCAATTCCTTGTTAACTTCTAAATCATCATGGGCTACGAGCACGGATAGCAATTTGGCAATTTCAACGCGAACGTTTCCCAACGGAGGTTCCAACATTGCTATCGTTGTCTTCACGGTAGGTTTCTGATAACAACGAAAAAGATTTCAAATGACAATACAAGATTTTTCCCTTTATATTTTTTCTGCTCACGCGAGTACGCAAAATATAAAACAACTCACCAAAGGAGGGTTAACTAAAATATTATGAAAGTCTTTTAATCGAGGCAAAATGGCTTTTACGGTACTTGCAACAACTGCCAAAAAATCAACGTAAGCCTGAGTGTTTTCATCGAATACGATACGACCGTCGCTGTGCCATCTGAAAAGAATTTTTTTTTTTTTTTTTTTTTTTTTGCTCAAAGTATATTTTGTTTTAAATTTTAGCATAAATCCGCAAATGTAAAAACGTTGTCGTCACACTCACTTGTTTTCTAATAAAACCAAAAGGACGGATATACCTCCGACTATGCTTGTTTCACACTTTGGTTCCTTGAGAATATGATCCAGGAGTAGAGTCACAGTTTCAGGCCTGAAATTTTATTAAAAATTAAGTTTAAATAATTAGAAATAAAATAATAATTTTAATTTAAACAAAAAACACAAAAAGTTTATGATTTCGGTCAGATACTATCTAGCAATGCATTTCATAGAGTAAATAAATTACTCTCTGCAATTAAAAATAATAAGTTTAATCATTCCAAATGATACGGTTAACAAAGCTTTTTAAATCATTGTCGATTGTGCATTTGTGTGCACGTATATTTGAAATTAAAAAAAAACTCACGATTCGATTCGATCCAAAATTTTATTTTGATGTAAAACTTCCATTTTGTTACTCCTTAAAATATTAATAAGATCACACAACAGTTGAGCTGCATTACAATGCCTATCGGGGTCCACCGAGGGATCTAATAAAGCCACAAGCCTTTGAACTAATTTTTGCTCATCCAACCACTGTTTAACAATTTAAAAATTTCAAATCGATTTATTTTGCTACAAAAAAGAATACAACAAACAAACAAACAAACATTTTTTTAATATAAAAATTTAACTTACATTTAATACGAGTTCCCTCAAATCAGCCCCTTCTACTTTAGTTATAAGATTAAGTATGAGATCCATAATTGCAGATGTTCCTAAATGTTTGAGCAACAAACTAATTGAATCTTCCTTTAGTTTAAGAAATTCCAAAACCTTTAAACAAGTAAACTGGTAGGAATATAAATTCTAATAGGAAATTTATAGGAAAAATAGGTTTAGGTACGAGAGAAAGAGAGAGAGAGAAAAAAAAAAAACATTAATAAGATTAGAACTTGGTTAAGATTCGTTAAGATGGTACAAATATAATAATTATGATTTTCAATTTTTCTTTTATTTGTTCTTGTTCATAAGTTTTTAAAAATAAGTTTTAGATTTTTAAATTTACTTCATTTCTGTTATGAAAGAGTTAAATATAATGTAATCTTATGTAAAAAAAAAAAAAAAAAAAAGAAAAAAGTTCAATGTAAAATAGTTACCCGCTCACTGTTCCTAGTAATTAGTACACTGAGAGTTTTGCTAAAAAATGAAGCTAAGAGAGGATTTAATGGTGCATCAGTATCAAGAAATGAGTAAAGCTTTCCTAATAAAGCCTTGTCGTTGGCCAAAGTTTCGCTAAGTGGAGGAACTTCGCATGTGAGTAACTCGCATGCAATGTTTGAATACTTGTACTTGATAGCATCATCCTCATTCCCAGATGGTTCTTCTATGGTTAATTTGACTAACTTTTCAAGTACATCAGATTGAATTAGACTGTAGATAAAATCAAAGTAGCAATATAAATTGAACATTAGTTTGTTGTTTTTTTTTTTTTTTTTTTTTTTGTGCCAAAGTTAATTTTTAATAAATACTTACTATTCTATTAAGCGCTTATTTTGAGTCCTACATTCTTCTAAGACTCCATCATCATCCATAATTTCTTGGAGAGTTACATTCTATTGAGTAAAAAAAAAAAAAAAATTTTTTTAAATAATACTCATTTCAAAAAAATTATGTAATATTGTTTTGTTGGTAATTAATAGAATGTTAAAATGTTTTTGATAATGATGATAAATACTTACTTCTTTGCTCAGTAGTACTTCAAAGTTTACTGAAGTAGCATGAGTAGAATTCCAATACATAATGGACTTACATTAATATCCAAGAGCAAAAGATTACCTATGGGGAAAAAAACTGACAATAAGAACAAAGCAAAAAAAAATATGATATTCGATAGAATTTTAAAAGAAATTTTATTTAGAGATACATTTTAAGAATATTATTATTTGATACAATGTTCTGTTGATGAGAAAATAAAAAAAAAAAATTAAAGTTCGGTCAAATTTCATCCCAATGATAATCTCTATGAGAAATGACCTTGAAGTTTTAACATTCTAAATTGTAGGATATTTTTTTTTATTGTAATTAGTGAAATTAAAAATCCAAAATGGTTTTTATTTAAAAATGAAACTGTCACATGATGTGCAATCAGGATGAAATGATTTAAAAAATGAATTTTATAAGTGAAAATACAATTTTTACCGTCTGTATGAGTTGAAGAACGATGAACGATAAAAACAGGTAATTATTCTGTCAAAAATTACAAGAAACTCCCAACAACTTGAAGCGTGATATGCAAACATATGTGAATCTCAACGCTGATATACGGTGTGAAAAATAAAATAATCAACAGTTACCGGATAATCCGCAATTAACTCGACTAATAAACTATAAAAACGCGTTAAATGGCGTTGTACCACAAGATGGTGGGCTATAAAAATTTCCCTGCTCTAATTTTTTTTCAAATCCATTGAATTCGCATCATATAGTTCTTACCTTATGAAAAAATTTTACCGAGACCCAGTAGGGAAAAATGTCGTCATTGAGCTCGCAATAGATAAAAGACAGTTTATTAACACCGGATGATCACAAATTTTTTTTTTTTAGAAAAATGGCTGGAAAGCTTTCGAAAGAAGATGAAAACTTAAAGTTATCACAACTAGGACTTCGACTTGTACTCAGTACGGTTATTCATCCAGTAGAATATGCAAAATTTTTGATGCAAGTATGTTTTAATTAATTTAATAATTTTTTTTTATTCTCTAACCACTTTTGGTTATGTTTCGAACTTTTAACGGAGTTCAATTATTTTCATTTAGATTGGCCATGAACCTATACCTCCGCACCCTATGACCAATATTTTTGGAAAGCCGATATTAGCCTTGCCGAACGTATTTCAATACAGTAGGTATTTTTCAAATAATTTTTTTTTTTCCTTACCCCTGAAAATTTTCCTTTTTTATATATAATTCAAAAAAAAAAAAAAAATTTAATTCAACATAAAATGATTTCAAATGTTTTGAAGTTGATTGAAAATAAATTTCAATATTATTATTTATTTTAGTTGCTTATATTAAAAGTGTTGATGGGACAGCAGGCTGCTTTAGAGGTCTCGGTGCAAAACTTTGTGCCAATGTCATCAATGGTGCTGCATTTGAAACCGTTAAGGAAGGAATACGTTTTGAAAGTGATTTTAAATCTTTTGTTAATGAAACTGAATTAGATCCAAATGTAGAGAGGTAATATTTAAATTAATGATTAATTTTACATTCATTTTAATTGTACACTCAATAATTAGTTAATTATATTTTCAGGAGACAAAAGTTTTTAAAAAATTTTGTTAAGGATGTAGCAGGATATACTGTGGCTGTGATAACAAGTCATCCATTTCAAGTTATTGCTGCTCGAATGATGGCACAGTTTGTGGGTAATGAAACAAAATACAGGTATTTTTTTTTTTTTTTTTTTTTTATTATAAATATAATCTTTTAAAAATTTTCAAAACAATTGATACCTTAAAAAAAAAAAAAAAAATAATAATTTAACTAATTTAGACAAAATGAATGCAATTAATTCTTTCGTTAACCGTAAGAAATTTTATTAACGATTATTAAAATAAAAAAAATTTGTTTTTTCAGTACTTTTATAGGATCTATACAAGAAATCTACCATCAAAATGGACTTTGTGGTTTTTTTTCCGGTTTAACACCTAGATTAATTGGTGACTTATTAAATGTCTGCATTACAACTAGTTGTACATATATAATTCATGTTTATTTTACCGATGATAAGGAAATTCAAAATTATTGTAGTGCCATTATAGGTGTAAGTTGATAATTTTTTTTTTTTTTTACTTTCTCTCTATTTTAAACTAGTTTTGTAAAATGAATTGTATTTTATTCACTCGGAATTTTTTTTTTTCCCCTCTTTCAGTTTTTCGCTACAGCATTCACATACCCTTTTCATGTAGTTTCCAATTGCATGATCGTCAACAATTCAGGGTAAAAAATTTTTATATTTATAACAATCGAAAAAAATCATCAACAACAAGTTTATTTTCCTAAAATTTGTTTTGAATTGTAGGTTGAAAGCAGGATCACCCCCACACATGCCACATTATAAATCTTGGCTTAATTGCTGGAAGCACCTGGAAAGCACAAAACAAATAAAAAGAGGTTCTTCACTCTTCTGGAGAAGATATCCACTGATGTAAAAATCAGTTTGTACCTTTCTCATTATTATTTTTTTTTTTTTTTTTTTTTGTGTGTATAAGGAGAAGAAAAAAAAAAATGAAATAAAAAAACAAACATCCCCTTTTAAATTGTGGAAGGGAATATAATAATATTAATAATAATAATAATAATTAAAAAAAAAAAAAAAAAAAAAATTTTTTTTTTAAACGTTTGTAAGTTGGTGAATGTTTTTGTTTATTTATGGCTTTTTACGATGTAGAGTACAATTCCTGTTTTTTTATGTGAATTTTCTGGATTAGAGAACGAAAAAAAAAAAAAAAAATACCTTGTTTACTTTTTTTTTTTTTTATAATTAAAAAAAAAAAAAAAATTGTGACATCCATTTAGTAATTGAAAAATAAAAATTATAATTTTTGTTCGCCTTTATGTTTAAAAAAAAAAAATTATAAATTAATTTATTCGGTTGGGACAACAAACAACATAAAAACATAAAAACATAAATTTTAAATGGATTTGTATTATTATTATTATTATTTTTAAAGGATATTTATTGACGACTCGTTTTATAATTAAAATTATTACTTTAACTAGTCTAAAATTATTTAATATAATAAAATATCTTTTTTTTTTTTTTAAAAAAAATTCACACGAAAAAAAAAACAATTGGTAATTTATAAGTAATTAAAATGTAATTATATTCAAATAACCACCGATTATACTTTAATCACTAAGACTTATTATCATTATTATTATTTTTATTTATTAACATTCTAAAAATAATAATAAAAAAAATTTATTTGATTTTTTTAAAGAGTTTTTCTATCGAACTCATAAGCATTTATATTACACGACGCCATTTTTTTTCAAATTGCAATTTAAAATCATTTTAAAAATAAAAAAATGGAGGAAAAAAATAATTATTTGATTTTTTAAAAATATTTTCGTCTTCCCTATCGTGTTGTTTAATTAGATAAATACAAGTAGAAAGTTTTTTTTTTGTTTTTAAAACTTTATTATCCAATTATTATCTTTAATATTATTATTATTAATTAATTCATATCGATTAATTAATTAATCATATACTCTCTTGCCAAAAATTCTTTTAAAATATTATTATTATTATTATTAGAGAGGGGAAAAAAAAAATTTCCATGATATTTTACATCCCCCACGTATTGTATATTTATTATTTGTGCACAATGTATAATTATGTATACATATATAATAATAATAATAATAATATCGATTTTATATAAAACTAATAATAATATAAATAATAATAATTTAGTTGTTTTTTTTTTATTAGCTGTTGTTTTAGTCGCTCATTATTGTAATTATAAATAAATAAATAAATAAATTGATTTATTATACGGATGATAAATTTAAAAAAAAAATTTTCTTTCTTTTGTTCATTTAATTATTTGTATTTAAAAATTTGATGTTGAATAAATAGGAAAAGTTTTTTTCGCATTTGATCCTTGAAAAACAAACTTTACAGGAGGATTTTTAACGTAATTATCATTTAATATTTTACATTTGAATGGTTTCATGCATCTGGAAAAAAAAACAAACAATTAATAATAATAATAATCGATTAAAAAAAGGTCGAAGTATTAAAAATTAATAATTTTGTTATTTGTATTTATTATTATTATTATTATTATTATTATTATTACTTATTCAATTCGTGTTGTCTCAACATGTCTAATCTATCGGTAAATGGATTATCCCAAACTGTTGGAGGTTCGTTGTGAGTACCATAATAATCACATTGACAACCCGTTGGTATTTTTTTCAATTTGGGATTAATTCCCTGACGGGATAATTCTTCTAATATATCTTTGGGTGGTGATTCAGAGGGTATTTCTTTTTTTTCTTTTCTTTCTTCTTTTTCCTTACAGGGATCGTAGGTTTTATATTTTATTTTTCTTAACGGTAAACAATATGTTTTATCCTGTTCTTCATCATCTTCATCATCCGATTCTTCTTCGTCGCTGTATAATAAACCTGCTTTTGCTAACATTTTGTGATATTCGAGTTCCATGTAATAAGGCCGGCAAAAAATTCCCATATCTGTTATATAATTAAAAATCAAAATGGCGGTCACGGATTGTAAAAATGAATAAAAATAAATATAAATAAATATAAAAACCTCTTTGTGTTTTTTTAGGCATGTCAACCGTGCATTTTTCTTTTAATTTTTGCGTTACATGACCCCATTCTTGAGGTTTTCCAACCCAAAATCCATTATTTCGTTCTAATTCCAATTCTAAACTGTGACATTTCGCCTTTAAAGTATATCTGTTTAAAAAAAAAATTACTCTCCGTTAATTTGTATATTTCGTGACGATAATAATTAATCAAATTACTATTATTATTATTATAACTCTCACCTTTTTTCTTTTTCCACCAAAACAGGATCATTATTCGCATTTAAATCCGAATCTAAATAAAATTCAAAATGGTTAAACAATCATGACTGAAAGAATTGTCGCATATGCAAAAACTTAACGGTTTTTTTTTGGTAACGAAAAAGAACGTTTTTAAAAATTGATAAGCCTCCGCGATTCATTTACATAAAAACAAATTTTTTTTAAAATTTAAAAGTAAACAAATGATTTTTATTTGATTAGATTAATAATACGTAAATTATTATTTTTATACGAAAAGTTAATAAATAAATTAATTAATTAACCTTTAATTTTTTTCAAATACAATCCGATTGTATTTTGAATTTGTCTTGGTTTTGTTAACAAATCGTGACATTCATCTTCTGTAAATGTTGGATCGATATTTGTCAATATGTAATTATCAGGATTTTTTTCTTGATCTATGTTAAATGAATACATGATATTTCTAAATATATAATTATTATATTATTATTATTATTATTTAAAAAAAAGAAATTCAAAAAAAAAAATAAAATAAAAAAATAAAAAGACTAACGGGGAAAAAATGCAGACGACGATTCGGTTTTGTTTTGTTTTGTTTTTTCTCTCAATTGATTTTCATTGGGTTTAACAATCACAACCGTATAAATCCATTCGTCAGTTAAAAAAAATGAATTTTCAATAAAAAAAATTATTATTATTTTTCTTTTCTTATTTTTTTGAGAGAGTAATTATTTAATAATAATTTATTTAATTCTTTTAATAAGAATCTTGTTCGATTTTATTAACTTGTGATTTCCAATCAAAACATCTAAAAAAAAAGAATAGAAAAGGATTTACTAGAAAAAGTCATTTACAAAAAAAAAAAAAATTAATAAAAATTATTGATAAAATAAAATAAATAATAGTAATAATAATAATATTAAACACTGTGTATTTAAAATTTAATTATTACGTACTACAATGTACACAATTGTAAAAACTCTAAAGAAGAATTCAAAAAAAAAAAAAAAAAGAAAAAAAAAAAATTTTTTTTTCTATTCATTACAATTTGAATTTTTCCACAACAATTTTTTTTATATAATAAATAAATAAATTAATTAATTGAATTCTTAATATTTATTTATATATATTAATTATTTATTGCTGTCATTTTATTAAACATTTTCAAGGAATGTACATAATATTATTAATTTTTTTAATAACAGATCTTGTTATTATTAGATAAAATGCAAAAACAAACACACAAACAAACAAACAAAAAAATGGAATTTTAATGTTTTATTTTTTTTTTTAAATTCATTTACATAAAAACATTTATTTAAATAATTTCTTTTTTTTTTGTTGTTGTTCTAATAAAAAAAAAAAAACCCCAACACATTTTTCCAATCCATAAAAATAATAATATCAATAAATCATCAATATCATCACCAATTTACTTATTTATTATTATTATTATTATTACACAATAATTTAAAAAAAAAAAAAAAATCATTACATGTGTTCCTCCACCATTAAAATAAAATACAATTAATAATAATAATGATAATCATTTATTTTTTAAATAATTATTTAAATGTGTAAGAACATAATCATAATAATGATTTAATCATTTTTTTTTTTTTTTTTTTTTTTTTTTACTTTTTACAAAATGTTTTTTTTTTTTTTTTATAAAAAGAAAATAATTATAAATTTAAATAAATTTATTTATAGATAATAATAATAATAATATAGATGAAAGCTTTAGCTTTTATTAAATAAGGTACAAATTCTATTAACTTTAGATTTTAAATAATAGAATAGAAAAGGCAAATTTTTTATTAATTATTATTTCAATTTTGTACAACAGACAATATAAATATATAAATATTCATCTAATATTATTTATATTTTATCAATTTTTATCAAATTTCACAAAAAAAAAAAAATTTAAACCAAAAAACAAACCAAAAGAGACAGCCATTAAAAAATTTTTAAATTAAATAAATAATTATTTATTTATTTATTTATTTTTTTTAAAATCAAATTATATTTATGTATATATTACGTATATAATTCGCAAGCAATATTTATCTGTTAGTAATAATAATATATTATTAAATAATAATAATAATAATAAATTATTTATGAGTAATTCAAATCACATTTAACTAATAAATGAATGCTAAATAATACAGACGATGTAAAAAAAAAAAATCAAAATAAATTATTTACAATTAAATATACATATTTTATTTATTATTATTATTATTATTTTAAATATTGACAAAAGATTATTTATTTATTAATTAATAGAATTATCGATTTTATTATTTAAAATCGTTTTTATTTTCCCATAATCATCATCATCATTAACAAATATTCTTATAGAACGAACGACGATTTTATTTCATTTTTAATATATAAAATAATAATAATAATATTAAACATAATAATAATACTATTAAACATAGTGATAATAATAATAATAGTAATAAATCTGGATACATAAAATAAATGTAATAGAAAAATTAAAAATTAATAAAGATTGTCACTGAATTTGATTAGTACATAATAAATAATACGTTATTCGTTCGATTATTATTATTATTATTACTAATTGTTCGGTTTATTATTATTACTATTATTATTACTGTAATATTGTATTATTTGCACGTGGATTTTAATAAGTGTAAGGAACGTGTGTAATAAAAAAAAAAAAAAAGAAAAATCAAATGCAAAATCAAAACCTGATGTGTGTGACCTGAGCCTGACATTTTTACTATTTTTTTTATAAAATTTCTTTTGTACTCCATCATTACTACTCCATTATACTTAGAATAATAATAATAATTCGAGACAAAAAAAAAAAATATTTAACTAATCTAAAAAATATTCGAATGTAATCAAATTCAAATATAAAAAAAAATTGTTTTTTTGTCCATTGTAAGCTTAAATTACAATTTTTTCCACATTAGCTAACGTTAACGTTATCTAATAAATATAATTAATTGAAATTTTTTTTCTTCTTCTTCTCTTTGAGTCCTTAAAATTAAAAACAAAAAGAAAATTTTAATTGATTTCCGATGGGGATAAAATTGGGGATACCATATAATGACCGTAATCTACGACGGGAGTTTTGGCATCATCTTGACTAGTGTCCACTTTAATCGTTATCTTATTATCATCTTGACTTATTAGATTTATATGCGTGGGTTTAGATTGGTTTCGAACGTTGTAACCCGATTCTACATCCACGAAATTTCTCATCATCGCGACAGAACCGTTTTGCGGTGATGACGTAGGAGTCGGAGAACTCGGCGAATATGGTACGTAAATTCTAACGACGTCCGGACTCGGAATGTGCGGCGTTGTCCTCGGAGTCGAATGAGCAGACGATATTTTCAATGACGTCGTCGTCGTCGTCGTCCCTCCCCCACCGATTCCTCCCAAGCTTACGGCACCCGCACTTCCATCCGATGCGTTGCTGTGAGTGTCGAGACTGTTGTCCAAAAATTGAGATCTCGTTGCCGTTGAAAATACCGATAAGTCAGCCGTTGACGTCACACTCGTATCAGCCAATGATCTTTTAGATCCTCCGTGACTGCTGTCGTCTAGACTTGGATCAAATGAAAATTTAGAACCTAAAAATATTATAAAAAATTTTGTCATTTTAATTAACTTTTCTTTTTTTTATTAAATAATTAATAAACTAAATAATAATAATAATATTAACTAAATAATAACTAAATAAAAACTAAATAATAATAATAATAACTCCGACTCATCAATAACGACAAACGACTTACCTGAAACAGAAAGAGAGAGAGAAAACATTTTTTTTAAAAATTATTTTTGTTTGTTTGTTTGTTTTTGTACAAAAATCAACAATTTTTTCTTTTTTTAAGTATAGTAAAAAGTGAAAAAATAAAATTATTAAAACAAACTACCACCAAATTAATCCGTACAAGGGTTGTTGTTTGTTTAAAAAAAAAAAAAAAAACCGTTAATAATAATAGTAATTGTTAAATCAATTAAATTCTTTCTTCTTTTCTTCTTTTAATTATTAACAAAAAAAAATTTTTTAAAATTTATTTTGTTTAAAGCAATTTAAAAAAACACGCAAAGCAATTAAATTCGGATATGGCGACGATCCGATAAAATAAAAATAATAATAATAATAATACATATATGTCTGTACACATACGCCATTTTATTAACTGATAATAAAAAATTTTTCTTTTTTTTATCATTTTTAGAATTTAATTGGAAAATTCATTTTTCTTTTTTTATATATATATATATAAATATGTACAAAAAGAAAAGAAAATAAAAGAAAAGCGACAGTTTTTTTTTTTTTTTTAGTTTCAAGAAGGAAAAAAATGTTAAAAACCCTTCTTCAATATAAGAGAATTCATTCCCAAATAATAAATTTATTGAGTATTTATTATTAAATGTATATAAACAACAAACAAATTGTATTATTCAATGATAATAATAATAATAATAAATAATAAATAATAATAATAATAATAAAATTAATCTTTCATTTTTCTTTTTTCATTTAAAAAAAAAAAACTATACAATCAAATTTAACAAGAAAATTGTAAAAAAATAAATTTTTAATTTTTTTTTTTTTTTCCCATCATTCCAGTCTATTATATAATAATAATGATGATGATAATAATAATAATAATAAAAATAAAGTTCAACAAGAAAAATCCAAAAAAAAAAAAAAAAAAAAAACAAATTTTATCAATTAACATTTAATAGTAATAATAATAATAAATCAAAAAGAAAAATGCATGCAAAACGTGCAAAATAATCAGCAAATATGAAATTAATTAAATATATATAATAATAATAATAATAATAATAATAATAACAATACAAAAATAAATGCATATATATATATTTAATTAAATAATTAATTTTTTATGAATGAATCAAAATGTGAGTAGTAGTAGTAGTAGTGGTGGTGGCCATATATAAATACAGCCAAACCATTTCTCTAATTATTATTATTATTATCATTATTATTTTATTGATAAAGTAAAAAAAAAAAAAAGACAGAAAAGCAAAAGACACAAACGCACACAACAGAGAGAGAAAGAGAGAGAGAGAGAGAAAAAAAAATAAAATAAAAAAAAAAAATTTGAAATCAAGATGGAATGGAATATTTTTAGTTAAATTAGGATGAAGAGGAGGAGGAGGATGAGGAGGCGGGGAAGGGGGGGAAGAAGGCAGGAGGTCAGGGGGGCATTGTTTAATTATCGAACGAAAAATACAAAATATTATGAATTGGTTTTTTTTTTTTTTTTTGAATATCTCCCTAAAATAAATAAGTAATAATAATAATAATAATAATTAACACGTTCTATTATAATCATTAAATTGTAAAGACAATTTTAAATTTTTAACGGCGATAAATGGATGATGATAATGATGATGATGATAATGATGATGATATTTGTTTTTTTTATTTTTTTTTTATTTTTTTTTCGAAATAATCTAATAAAGCTACGAGTAAAGAGATTCTTCTATAAAAAATATATTTTTTTTTTTTTTAAAAAATCTATTTATCAAAATTAATTAACTATCAAAAAAAACTAAAACTAATTATCATTATTATTATTATTATTAATTGCTCAATGTTTTCTGATATATATAGATATATAAACGCATTTAAATAAATAATAATAATACGTATTTTAATTATTATTAAATTTTTCACGTTTCATCATGGGTAACATTAAATTTTTTTTTTATATATTGATGTAGTACATCATCCAAGTGGAAAATGTATTTTCTTTTCTCCAATTTTTTAAAATAAAAAAATAATTATATAATTATAATCAGGCAAGTTAAGCTGCGTTTTTTTTTTTTTTTTTGTTTAGGGATGATTCCGCCATTTTTCAATCGATTCCGATTGGGAAAAAAGGTAATCTTAATAAGAAATCAATATATAATTAGTTTAAACGATGGCAACGAGTACGCCATTTTGAATTTTTTTTACAAGAAAACTTAGAAATTGCAAAAGCAAATGAAATATTAATTGATTTTTTTTTTTTTTTTTAATAAGCAATTGTGTGATTTATCGTTACAATTAACTGCTGCCTGTTATTGTACCCAAAGGGAGAAAAAAAAAAAAAAAAAAAAAAAAAAAAAAAGAAAATAGGAAAAATTAGATGATGATGATGATGATGATATCATCAGGGGTTTTAAATATTATTTGCTTATATGAAAACGACGACACAGAATGTCAATCAATCAATACAATTGATTCGATATCGAATCGACTACAAGTGTGTAACCAATATATAATTGAACTCGCTCTGGTCGTTTAACTTACCCCCTAAACCCACACTGTCACCGATGGACAATCTGGAATGCCTGTTGCTCATGGAGTCGTCAGAATTCATCAAAGCATTTTCAATGGCCGTGTCTCGTCTCATGATAACCGTTTCGTTCGTTACTTTTTCCTCGTGTGAAAATTCCATTTTCCTTCGCCCGATTTTCAAATCTACCGTTGGCTCGACAAATATTCCAAACGGTTTTTTGGGGAGTTCGTGTGGCAGTGGAGGTCCAGCATAGTCCAATTGAGCTTTTCTCAATTCTTCGCATGCTCTCTGAAGGGTTTCCATTGTTGAATCATCATCGAACCCAAAATCTTTTTCCAGTCGAATCTGTAAACATTAAAATGAATTTAAGAGGGAATGATTACCTTTACGCATTCTCGACAAAACTTGAACAACTTTTTAAATTAATAAAAATTAAATTTTGAGGGCTCAATAATTATTTCTCTCCCATCGAATTACTTTCAGTAAATTTAAAACATTGAAATAAAAATTCCTAACTCATTAAATAATTTATTAATTGGCATTTTTATTAGTTCAATTGAATAATGAATAATTTTTTTTTTGAAAATTCATTTGTAAAGTGCTTGATTGCAACGAATAATGCGATAAATGTTTTTTAATAAATATAATTAGGTAAAATAAAAATACCTGTAAATACTGTAGAATATCATCCATGCCTAATCTCATTAAAGCTTTCCTATGCATTTTAAGCAAGTTATATGCCATACATGTTAACGTTTTTTCCCCTTCTAATAAATATACATCCCAAACTCTTAAGGTTAATGGAAAAGGTATCTATAAAACATTAAAATGATTATCTCAAATGGAAATATTGTTAAGAAAATTTTAAAAATTTGCATTATTGTAAAAAAAGAAATGATAATAATATGCACTTACTCTATCTAGAAAACATTGGAAAAACCACTTGAGAGTATATATTCCAGTATCTACTCCATTTTTATCCAAATGTTTTTTTAATTTCGGTAGGAACTTGTTCATGATTTTATCATGATGCTCTTGATACCTTATTAGCTTTGGAAAACCAGGAATAAAAAACCCATGCATGTTGTACCTGCTATCAGCGAATAAAATAGCCAAGGCCCAAAATGCATCTTCTTCGTTGAAATACATTAATAGCAAAGCGGCTATTTGCGACATTCCTTGACAGTAACCTATATCAGAATTGTAAATACTGTAGGCTCCTAATATATTAAATAAAGCTATTTGCTGGACACTATATCTATCCCTAAACATAATATGGTCTCTATATGTTCTATTAACATCCAAATCAATTTGTCTGATATCTGTTGACCACTTTAAAGCTAAATCTCTCATTTCTTCATATTTTCCTTTTTGTTCTTCTTTAACCTTTTTAACATTTAACAACAATCCCCAAATTAATGCTCTCAATTTATCTGGTATCCCTTTAAAAATCCTACGTTTTAATTTTTTTGAACCTAAAACTGATTGCCAGTCCATTGTCATCTTGAGCCATTTATTGACTCTTTCCATTTCCAAGTCCTTTTGTCGTAATTCATTTGCATCAGCTGTTTTTGGAAGACGTTTATCACTGGAAATTTTTTTAAATATATATAAAAACCCAAAGGGAAAGGATGGAGAATATTGTCTTGGAAATGGACAAAAAAAAAAAAAAATCTTTTGAAATGACAAATATTAACATTACTCACTGCATAAACCCATATCTGTCTGTGACGTGATAAACCTCAAAGGCTGGATCTTCCCATGGGTCGATTTGTGCTCCTTCCTCTCGACCTTTTTTATAACGAGCAACGATAATTTCCCGCTCTTCCGCCGCTCTTCGTACCAAATCATCCTCATTCATCGTTCAATTAAAACTGAGTATGAAATATTTATCATCCCGCTTAGAGATAACCCGCCCCCTCGTTTGCTGTCAACAGTTTTTAACCAATCTTTTATTATAAATCGATACTAATAACCGAATTATTAACTATTTAATTATGTTTATGTTAATAAAAATACAAAAAATTAAATGTTAAAATTTTAAATATTATTTTTACTGCCAAGCATTTACACTTGCTGTTATCAAAATCACCAAACAGTCTGTTTTTATGCCATCTTGACAAGAACGTGCAGAGGGCTATGGGAAATTAATTGCGACAAATTTCTTGACGTTTGAACCATCTTGTAATTATAATAAGCGAGTTGTTAATTTACATATATACAGTTGATCAGTTGAAAATGTCGTTTTATTAGTAAAGTTTTAATTTTTCTTTTAAAAAAAAAAATTTGTAAATGTCAAATTATAATGACAAAAAGATGTATAGTAAATATTTAATGAAGGCAAGTTAAAATTATTAATAAATTTTTTTTTTTTTTTTTTTTTGTGCAACTACAAGTTTGTAATAATGATTCATGATTTTACTCTATAATTTCTTCCATTTAATTATTTTATTTTATTTTATTTTATTGTTTTAGTATCAAAATCCAGAAAAAACTAAAAGAGAACTTATTGAAGTTACCCAACATTATAAAGGGTTAGAAGTAAAACGAGAACCATTCGGTAAATAATTAAATAATTTTTTTTCTTTTATGTAACCTTGGATTTTAAAAAAAAAAATATATATATATATATATATTTTATGTATTTATTGAATCACATCAACATAGATTTTCTTTTAAATGTTTAAATAATTAAATTTTATCAACGTTAATAAAAAAGTAGTCATGTAAATCTTTGTTTAAATTTAACCACTTATTATATTATTGTATTAGCGACAAAATACTTAAAGTAAACTTTGATACATGATAATTTTATATAATTTTTTCTTATTATAATTAAAATTTAATATTAACTTTATGTATTTCTTTAAAATTTTGTCATCAATAGATGTGATTTTAATAAAAATAATATAAATACAAATTACAAATGTGATGTAATTTTTTTAACCCATGGCAAACTTATGGTTTTCAATGAAAATGATGAAATTTTTTTTTTTTTACAGTATCAGCGATGGTAGTCGACTAGATCTTGTTAATTTACAGGGAACTATACCGATTCATTATAAGGGTAAGAGTTTTTAATTATGTTTATTCTTTTAAAAAAAATTAAATATTTACATTAACATTAATAATTATTGTAGTAAATTTAATCTTATCTAACCATCATTTATATTTTTATGATATAAAATTTATTGTTAAGAAATAATTTTTCTCGTCTAATTTTTTTCATTTATTTAGTTATTAATTAAACAATTAATGAATTAATGAGTTTTTAATTTGTAATTTACCATGTGATTTGTTTTAGGTGCTGCCTATAATTTACCAATATGTATTTGGTTAATGGATTCACATCCTTATAATGCTCCTATGTGTTTTTTAAAACCTACTCCATATATGAGAATAAAAATTTCCAGATATGTTGATCATAATGGAAAAATTTACATGCCTTATTTACATGACTGGTCACCAGTAAGTATATTATTTTCTTTGTGTTAAAATATTTTTATTAAAAATACAAAAAGGAGTAAATTTATTGATACTTTTTCTTTTTGTTTAGAATACCTCTGATTTATTGTCTCTAATAGGAGTTCTTATAATGCATTTTAGCGAAGAGCCTCCTTTGTACCAAGTACCCAGGAATAATGCTCCTGCACCTGTGAGCTCGACTCCATATCCAACCCAGTGTAAATATTTAATATAAATTTTATTTTATTTTACATTGAATCGCACAAATTAAAATTAAATAATTATTATTATTATTATTATTATATTTTAGCCTTTATGCCAATGCCTGGAACTTCATCGACACCAGTTTATCCGCCATACTCCTCTGCTCAACCACCTTATCCGATTGCTAATCAAAACATAGACTATCAGCAGCAACCTTATTTACCTTATCCGGCATTTCCGAAAACGAATCCAGTTTATCCACCATCTTTTCCATATCCTTCAGGAACTTCTACAACGGTTAGTCAAAATTATCAACAGTTTTATTCTATTATAGTGCAGGATGAAATTTGTGCAATTAATTATTTGAAAATATTTTTTAGGGATCTGATAATACTGGAAGTAGTACGGGAACTGGAACTGGAACCATTACTGAAGAACACATTCATGCTTCTTTATTATCCGCTGTCGAAGATAAAGTTCGACGTCGACTTCGCGAGCAACTTTCACAAACCCAAGCCGAACTTGAAACACTCGATAAAATTCAACAGGAATTAATGCAAGGGAAAAATCGTTTAGATCATTTAATAGCTAAACTTGATGCCGAACATGCTGAATGGGAAAAAAATTTAGCCGTTTTAAGAGATAAAGAACAAGAATTAGATGAATCCATTAGTAAATTGTCTGAAAAAGGTGGCATTGATGTTGATGAGGCTGTCACAACCACAGCACCGCTTTACAAACAGTAAACAAATTTCAAAACAATCATTAAATGTTAAAACAAATTTTTTTTGTCGAATTTACATAAGTTTTTTTTTTTTTTTTTTTCTGTTACAGATTACTTAATGCTTTTGCTGAGGAAGCTGCTACCGAAGACGTTATTTATTATTTAGGTGAAGCTCTTAGACGTGGCGTTATCGATTTGGATGTTTTTCTTAAACACGTTCGTAGCTTATCGCACAAACAATTCATGTTAAGAGCATTAATGCAAAAATGTCGGGCTAAAGCCGGTCTCGCGGGTTAATTATAAAAAAAATAAAAAAAAATTGTATTCACGTAATAAGTATTCACGTAATGTAACTTTATGGAGCTTTTTTTCCCCCCCCCCCCCCCATTACTATTATTTTTATTTACATAATTACTTTTTGTTTTTTTTTTTTCTAAATGTTTACGAATAATATGTATATAATAAGTGAAATTATAAAGAACAAAATGATCAGTAAGTAGGAATTACTTTTCGATCATAATTATATTTAATGCCTTAATAACAGTTGTTATTATAATTTTGTAAAAAGCAGCAAAAAATAGAAAATGAATTACATTTATAAAAAAACGTAGAGATAATTGCAAATTTAAAAAAAAAATTAAATTTAATTAGTCTTTTAAAAAAAATTTTTGCAATATTTGTTTTATTAAAAAGCTCTTTTATAATTTTTGAATTATTTTTTTTTAATAATTAATTTGCTATATTTTACATTAATAAATAAAAATTCATTTTTGTTATATAATTTTTTTTGTTTTTCATAAATTACACTCACCTTATTTTAATATTTCGATTGATTTATTATTCTTAATTCGAATTTAATTGTATACAAACGAATAATATTGTGTCAGTATGTGAAAAATAGTTGTTTTGTAAGTACTTTTTAAAGTATTTCAATTAGAATTTATTGGATTTGTACAAAAAAAAAAGTTAAAATTTGTTTTAAATAAGTTTTTATTACTCGTAAATCATATCACAAATTACATTGTAATCTTTTTTGTATAAATTTTAATTCGATTTATGTTCTCAAATGATTTATTTATTTATTTTTTTTAATTATCATTTTGTCAGAATATTTTAAAATTTAAAATAATTTCGATTAAATTAACAACAATTCGATTACAAAGTAAAATTGGTTGAAAATAATATTCGAAGGAATGTTTTTGTAAATAATAATTATATTACATATTTAATAACAGAAAAAACAATTATTAAAATACAGAATTTATTTTGTTTTAGATAAGAAAAAAACATTTATTAATAATCTATTTTCGATTTACATAAAATCATTTGAGACATACATTTGTTTTCATTTTTTTTTTTACTTAGACGCATACAAACATTAAACATGAAATATGTTTTTTTTTTTTGTGGTTTGACTGTATTTTTTCATATCAGAAAAAATGATTTTTAAATTGATATTACCATTTTTATCACCACACTTTAGAAAAAAATTGTTAACATATTTATGTAAAGCATTCATTCATTCATTCATTTTTTTTTTTTTTTTTTTATACAGTCTATCGATTATTTTAAACATATATTCCGACCCATAGTAATAAAAATAAAACTCCGAAACCAGAAAAAAATGCAGCAACTAAAGCGACAAGAAGTTCTTTAAATAAATTTCTAGTATTTTTTGGGCTAGTTACTTCATAAACGAAAAACCAAGCGGTAAAAAATATTCCAATTCCAAGAAGAACAATTGTTAAATGTGGAAAAACTGCAGGATTGACAGGAGATACATATCTTGACATTGACTCAAGTTCAACCTAAAAAAATAAATAACAATAATTGTTTAAAAATACTACATAAAGACAAAGGGAATAAGTATTTACATATTTAATAAATTTTTAAAATTAAACAACATCAACATTTACAAATCAACAAAAACAATTTTATATTTCTTATAATTAATTTGGTTAAGGTAACTACATTTAAATATATTACGATACAAATTAAAGAAACAATAAAACTTGTCGAAAATAATTAATTTATTATATGTATAATAAAAATAAGACTTTTTTTTTTAAAAAAAAAAAGTTTAATTCAAATCCAACCGGTATTTAATTTAAAATGTAAATTATAATAAAAATAAAATATTTAATTTAAATAACATGAGAAATAGTTTTAAAAAAAAAATCACAGATTAAAAATTTATTTATAAAAAATTTACCATTTTGAATATTTATATATTTTGGCAAATTATTTTTTTGTTAACTGTATTTAATCAGAAATAAATTTTTATTAAAACATTACGTGTTGATGTAAAGCGGAAATGGTTATCCTATTTTAGATTAACTTTTCAAAAGTTGTCGATACTGCAAATATGAATTTATCAGAGTAGCAAGTTAATTTTAAAATAAATATATATATATATATTTATACGTATATTTTGAATTCCGAATATTGATTTCAATTAAACATGGCTAATTTTTGGATGTTACTTTCAGACGTATTTAGCTTGATAACAATACTTCTTTGTTTAATTTTAAAAGTACCACAAATAATTCAAATAATTATATCTAAAGATGCAGCCGGACTTAATTTTAATGGTCTATTATTGGAACTTTCGTCGTAAGTTTTTTTTTTTTTTCGTTCAGGGTCGTTTTCATTTAAATACTAATTAATTCGTACTTATTACCAATTATTTATTTTTTTAAAAATTTATAAAACCTACAATTTAAACTTTTGTTACATTTCATTCATTTTGGTTATTTGGAAAAAAAAATATGGAAACTTACTTTATCACTTAATTTCATTATAAAATTATGTTAATTTAATAAATTAATATTTTAATTTTAAGGTACACTATTACTATGATGTATAACTTTTGTAACAATCATGCATATTTATCTTACATGGAATATCCGATTATAATAATTCAAGAGTATATACTTTTAAAACTTGTTATGAGTTACCAAAACTTTAAAAAAACCACATTTCCACTTTTATTCGTTATATACATGACAATCTCTGTGATATTTGCTATCGGGATTTTGGACAAATTTCTATTGACACTTTTAGTGGTAGGTATATGGACTTGCACAAAATAATAATTTATGAAAATATATTATTAAAATTTTTTTTTATAATAAATTTTTCAGCCGTTAACCACACCTGTGGGTGCTGCGAGTAAAATAATGCAATTATTAGAAATAATAAAATCGCAAAATGCCAAATCTGTCAGTGTATTAACATGGTTCTTATCATTTTTTACAAATGTGACAAGAATCTACACAATTTACATGGATTCTGCTGATACTTATTTATTATTAAATTTTTGTATATCATCAATTTTAAGCGGTGCCGTCATGTGCAGCGCTTATTATTTTCAACAAAAAGAAAAAGCTAAATAATCGCTTTGACAAAAAAAATATTCTTCCCTTTTCTTAATCAAAACTACAATTTCTTTTTTTTTATTTTAAATTATTTTAAGAATCGCACATCACTCTTTAACATGTAAATATCTACCACTTAGTCGAAAGTTAAAATTTATTATTATCGTCTTTTTCACTTAAGAAAATACAAACAATTTTTATTTCACAACAAATTAATGAAGAAAAAAAGAAAAAAAAAAAAAGAATTTTTTGAAAGTTTTTAATACCAGTGAGTTAATTTAAAATAAAAATGATAATTTTTTGATTTCAAACTTAACAAAAAAAAAAAAAACAAAAAAAAAATGCTTTTTCTAATTATTTTCGCATTAATCATTCCATTATTTAATTTATTTAATAACTTACATTTGTCATAATGTATTTATTATTTATTATTTATTTATTACTATCAATTTTAATAATTGTTATAAAAAATTTTATTTATTAATGAAAACTTTCAGCGAAGATGAAAAACCAAAAAAAAAAAAATTGTTATCTCTTATTACTAACTCCTAGTCATAAAAGTGATATTTTATTTTTAAATAAAAGTACAATTAAATTTTCTTGTTAAAAAATTATATAATTATATTTGTTATAATTTTAATTGAATTTATAAAAAAACAATTCAGCTGGTCTGATGTTGGAAAAAAAAAAATTATTTTGCTTAATAAAAAAAAAAAAAAAATTAATTTAAAAAAAAAAAAACGTTTACGTTTATTGATTTATTTATTATTTATTTTTTGTTCAATTCATAATCCAATTCCTTTACACACGTGATTTATATATATATATATTTAACACATAATAATTTTTATTTATATATATATAATGATATAATAATAATGAATCATTGTTCTTCTCTTTAATATTATTATTATTAAAAACTATTTGAGAAAAAAATCATTTACAATGATTAATATATAATAATTATAATATTTTATAATAGTTATTAATTTAAAAAATAAAAACAATTTAAATAAAAAATTATTTTATTAAGATATATAAAACAAAAAAAAAAAAAAAAAAACAAAAAATGATATGAGAAATGTAAGTTAAGACGTTAAAGGAAAAAAAAAAAAAAAAAAAAAAAAAAAAAACGCATCCTTAAATCCGCGACTCACTAAATCACCCTAATCTAATATTACAACTTGAAGAGTCTCTCTCTCTCTCTCTCTCTCGCTCATTCATAGTCAGTCAGTCAGTTGTGAGCAAGATGAGAGTGAACAAGTCCGCGTTTGTATTCAGTGTGGCGTGGTTGACTATTTCTTATGTTAGCGGAGAAGTTTTAACACCCCCATATTTTAATCTTGCCGATGGTAGAAAGATAACGGCAACAGCAACATGCGGAGAAGGTACGCCCGAACCTGAATTATATTGTAAATTGGTTGGAGCCAATGCAGACAGAGACGTGAACATAAATCTTATTCAGGGCCAGGTTTGTCATTTTTTTTCTATCTCTCTCTTTTTCTATCCTTTTCTTCACTAATGTAAACCATCATTTTATTTTATAAAAAAAAGTAAATCATAAATAACTATTATTATTAATTTGATTTTTTTTTAAACAAATAAATAAATTTATTATTATTATTATTATTATTATTATTACCATTTTTCAAACCGTTTTTTTCGTTATTAAAACGAGTGTAATCTTATTAATTTATTATTATTAAATAATTAAACCTTAAGAATTTTTTTCTCTTTTTATTAATATGAGGTTATATATATATATATTAATTAATTATTTAATTATTCTTTTAAAAAATTTAACGGAATTAATAAATAAATTATTTAAATCATTTTTTTTATATCGTTAACATTAATTATCAAATCGAAATTAATAATTTAATTAATAAAAAACCAAAGAAAATTATAAAAAATGATTCAAATAATTAATTAATTCGAATTACACACATAATTATAAAATTACTTACTTAATTAATTTTTAAAATAAATTTTACATAATTTTAAATAAAATGATAATTATAAAACTACCCCGGAAAAATAAAAAAAAAAAAATTGATGGTATCTTATAAATTTAAGCCTAAAATAAATTAATCAGGTTTCACGATGTCCGAGAGTCTCCCGCCATTTTTTTTTTTTTCCCTCCCTCTTGCATTTCATAACGACTATAAAATTCGAGAACAATCGAAACTTCTAGATCATTTTCAAAAAGGCTCTAAAACGGTGATTTCGTTATTAACCGGATTATGATTATTTCTCGGTGGATTTTATCGAAAAAAAAAAATGAAAAAATATTTATTTTAATCGTTAAATTCTTTTTGTGTGCATTTATGTGATTTTTAACCGGCCTGAGGTAAAAAAAAAAAAAAAAAAAAAAAAAAAAAATGTCGGAGTGACGGTTGAACAAAGCAAACCTTTCAATTTGTAATAATGTTTTTTTTGATTAAACAATGTTTTATTTGTTATAGCACGGTAACAATTAATTGTCAGGTTTCATTATATTTCTTTTTTTTTATTAAATTTTGTAGAATGAAATCAAATTTATAATATTTAAGAGAAAAAACAAGATGTCGAGATGAGAGGATTTTTACAATAGGGAGATTGAAGTAAATGAAGAAAATGTTTCTGATTATCTTTAAAAAAAAAGAATTTCCTAGTGAAATATGAAAGATTTTTATATTTATTACAATGAACTCATAAAAAAATTTTTAATTAATGTTATCTATATTATTATTTGTTAAATAAAACTTGTTAATTTTCCAGTGCACATACACATAGAGACAAACACACACACACACAGACAAACATTTCTCAACTCTTTTTTTTTTATAAAAATGGAAGAATTTGAAGAAAAACATTCATAATAATTTCAACCTTTGATCTCTTCAATCTCTGATGTGAAAGACATAATAAGTGATGTTGATAAAGTTTATAAAACCAAAATTTATTTTATTATATATAATAGCAAAACATCTCATATGAGAATTGAATAACAAAATGAATGGCGACAACAGGATTTTATTTAAAACTACTTTTTCAATGCAAACTCAGTGAATTTTTATCTTTTTTCTTTTACAAGGGAGGGGAGGGGAGAGCAAAAATGGGGTGAAGAAAAAATGAAAGAAATCTTTGTAATAAGATACAAATTGTTGTTGTGTTACTCTAATATCGTTTTTTCTTCTTTTTTTTTTTTTTTAAAGGAGATTTTTTAAAGGTATAAAAATAAAACATAATGTTATTTGTTAACAACAATAAAACACAAACGTCATGAATGTTGTAAATGAACAATGAAGAAGGTGCGATCCTTTCAAAAAACGTTCATTACTATTGTATCAACATTGTTGAAAGAGAGATAGAAGAAGAAGAAGAAGAAAAAGAAAAGAATAAGAAAGGAAAAGAAAAGAAAACAAATTCTTTTATTATACTTTTTTTTTTTTGGCAATTTGCTAATATGTTGAAGAATAAATACATGATGGGAAAGAAAAACAGAATGAATAGATTGAGGAGGAAAAGAAAAATTTATTTACAAACTTAAAAATAAATTGTTTTGTGGTGCTGCTTTTGCTGATGCTGCTGCTGCTGCTGTTGCTGATGCTGCTACAGCTTGTAGTTAATTTATTTCATCAATTTTACAATGAGTTTGTACAAAAAAGAAGCATAATGTTACAAAGAATGTAAACTGTCTGATAAACAACAAGCAAATTAAACAGAAAAATATTTTTAAAAAAATGTGGAGGAGGAAGATAAAATTGTGCAGAAGGTCATTTCATAAACCACTTAAAATCCATTTTTTTTTTTTTTTTTTTTTTTTTTCCCCCCCCCCCCATTCATATGAATCATATTTTTATGAAAAAAATTTTGTATTTAATACAACCGTTTGTTAAATATTAACATGAGATTGTTGTTTTTGTTTTTGTTGTTGTTTTTGACAATATGCAAATTAACAATAAATTATTGTTTTGTAAATTATTTACAGAAAACAAGAAAAAATTGAAATTTTTTTTTTTTTTTTTTTTTTTAAATTCTACATATGATATGTTTCATAATGTTTTTGTCAAAAACATTTTCCCAACATTCAAAAAAAAAAAAAAAACAATAAATAATAAATTAATATCGTCGGGGTGGGTGTAGCTTATCAATAATTTATTTATTTATTTATTTTTCGTTTATCATTTAGGTTTGCGATGTGTGCGATCCGACAAGACCTGATAAAATGCATCCGGCATCATTTGCCATAGATGGAGCAGAAACATGGTGGCAAAGTCCTCCACTTTCCAGAAGCATGAAATTAAACGAAGTTAACTTAACAATCGATTTCGGTCAGGTAAATAAAATAAAAAAAAAAAAAAAAAGAATAACAAACAGGTGCGAGTGTGTGTGAGAGAGAGAGAGAGAGAGAAAGAGAGAGAGAGAGAGGATTAAATTCATAAAATATTTCTATCGTAGACATTTATTATTATTAATATTTTTTGACCGGAAATAAGTTTTCCTTCATCGACAAGAATTGAAAAGAAAAAAAATTTTTTTTTTTTTTTTGTTGTCCTCTTTATCGCTCTCATTGAAATTCTTATTGCGTTTAATCATCATGAAATGAGTTTAATAGCCTCCCACAATAAATTTTTGAAATCGACTTCCGGTTTTTTCTCTCTCTCTCTCTCTCTCTTTTCCTCATTTGTCGTTTTATATTGATAATTGTTATTATTATTATTATTATTATTTTAAAAAGAAAAAAAAATTCAAATTTTTACTGAATGTGTTAAAAATAAACATGTTTGAACTTGCAAAAAAAATTTAATTAGACTTTTAAAGCTAATTACAATTCCAAAAATAATTTTTCTTTTTTTTTCTTTTTGTTTTTGAATAACTTTTTGGTTTTATTATTATTATTATTATTATTATTATTATGAATAAGATCATAAACAGCCCCCACTCGACAACATTGCTCTTTTCTCATTCTCAATAATGCTGTTGGTTAAAAAAATTTTTTTAGGTTTTAATAAAAATGTTTATTATGAACTCATTTCAGTTTGTTTTAAACAATTTAATTTAATTAAATGAAAAAATTTGAGTTGTTGTCGTTGTGGTTGTTGTTGTTGTTGTTGTTGTCATAGTTGATTTATACTTTTGTCATGATATAAATTGAAGTGGGCTGGCTGTCGTTTCTATTTAGATGGAATGAATGAATTATTATAATTTATCATCAAGTCGACAAAAAAAAAAAAAAAAAAAAAATGGAGAAATAAAAACTCTTTGTTTTGTTAAAAAAAAAAAAAAAAAGAAAAAAAAAAGAAATTTATTTTTGATTTTAAACATGTTTTAAACTCATAAAAAAAATCCAGGGTTCACACTTGTGTTAACCAAATGTTTTTTTTTATTTTTTTTTTATTTTTAATGATTTTGACTAGAAATAATAATAATAATGGTGTTTTAAATTTTTTTTAAGGCTTTTCACGTTGCTTACGTTTTTATAAGAATGGCAAATTCTCCAAGACCTGGAATTTGGGCTTTGGAAAAATCAACGGATAATGGATTGTCGTTTACACCGTGGCAATATTTTGCGGATACGCCATCGTAAGAAAACAAACTAAACTTCAAAAAATTATTTTTAACGGATTATATTTGCATTTTAATCTTTTTTTTTTTTTTTTTTTTTTTTATTATTTTTTTTCAATTCAGAGATTGTGAAACTTATTTCGGTAAGGAAAGTTTGCAGCCGATAACCAAAGACGATTCAGTTATTTGCGATACTCAATTTTCAAAAGTTGTACCGCTGGAGGGTGGAGAGGTACCTTTTTTTTTATTTTTTCAATCGATTCAAATTTTTGCTTTGCAAAATTTTCCATTTAAAAAAAAAAAACAAAACGTTTTTTTTTTTTTTTTGTAGATCGTCGTTTCCCTATTGAATAATCGTCCATCGGCGAAAGATTTTTTCAATTCGACCGTTTTGCAGGAATGGACGAAAGCAACAAACGTTCGACTCAGGTTTTTAAGAACTAAAACACTTTTGGGTCATTTAATGTCCGTTGCACGTCAGGATCCGACGGTTACACGTCGCGTATGTTGTCGCCATCTTTTGTTTGAAAGCATTCCATCTACCTCTCCGATATAAAAAAAAAAAAAGATTTAAATTTTTTTCTTTTTGTCCGCTGTAGTATTTTTATTCGATAAAAGATATAAGCATTGGAGGAAGGTGCATGTGTAACGGACACGCGGTTACTTGCGACAATACAGATCCAAGAGATACTTATAAATTAGTTTGCAGTTGTCAGCACAACACGTGCGGTGATCAATGTCAAACGTGTTGTCCAGGATATCAGCAAAAAGCTTGGAAACAATCAAAGGCAAACGCATTGTTTGTATGCGAACGTAAGTCATTAAAAAAAATATATTTTCGACGTGTACAGACAAAACCTCCGCGTTTCAAAAAAAGTAAATAATAATAATAATAATGATAAAAATAGCAGACGGGATTTGTTTTAAAAAAAAAAAAAAAAATGTTTGAATTGTCATTTTTTATTTATATTTATCATTTATAACTGTAAATAATTTTTTTAATGGAAGTCAATAATGGAAACGTTATAAATGTTGTCGAGGGAAACGAAAGTAATAATAGCATAACGGATTCGGATTTTCGAGATGCCGAAAACCAGGGATCGATCGGACGGGAAAACACCGTGCTTTCCGTGCTAACATTTATCGCTTTTTTTTCAATGATCGTTCCCGTCATGTACGCCATTAATCCATTATCTCTATACATAATCCCCGTTTTTACGACTTTAACATTTGTTTCCATGCACGCTCCGCAATATTTAAGTTTGGCATTTTTCGATGTTAGAATATATTGCGTGGCCATTGTACTTATAACGACGTTCCTATGATTTTTTTTTTGTATTTATATGTATTTGGAGTAAGTGAATATATTATACTATACATTTTATTTATTTATTAATTCATTCGTTTTTTATTTAAAAATTGATATAGATTTATTATTATTATTATTATTGTTGTTGTTTTTTTAGAATGTAATTGTTACGGACATTCCGACGAATGTGAATACTCGGAAGAAGTGGACAAACAACACTTATCTGTCAACATACACGGACAGTATTTAGGTGGTGGAGTTTGTAAAAATTGTCGACACAATACGGAAGGGATTAATTGTAATAAATGTCAAAACGGTTATTATAGACCCTTTGGAAGGCCTCTGAATGCGACAAACGTTTGCGAGAGTACGCAGCAAATTAATTTTTTTTTTTTTTTTTTTTTTTTTGGTAATGTATGGAAATGAGGGGGGGGGGAAAAAAAATAAAAAAAATTTTTTTTTTTTTTTTTTTTTTTAGGATGCCAATGCGACGTTTACTATTCGACCGGAAATTGTTCGGAAGGAACAGGACAATGCGAGTGCAGGAAGGAGTATCAAGAACCCAAATGCGATTCGTGCAGTTTTGGTTATTTCGGGTATCCGGATTGCAAACCCTGCGAATGTTTTCAAAACGGTACGAGAGGGTATCATTGCGAGGCCGAAGGAGGAGCTTGTCCGTGCAAACCAAATTTCGGAGGAAAATTTTGTTATCAGTGTTCTGAGGGATTTTACGATTTTCCAAATTGCCTTCGTAAGAGCTTTGAGTTTTTCTTTCTGTTTAAAAAAAAGAAAAAAAAATTGTTTAAGCGTTTAAATTTTTAATTTCAGCATGCAGTTGTAACTCCATCGGTTCATTGTCCGATATTTGCGCAATCGATAGTGGAAATTGTACTTGTAAAAATAATTTCGGTGGACAAAATTGCGACGCTTGTAAAAACGGGTACTACAATTATCCGGAATGTATATGTAAGTAAATCGGCGATGCTCGAGCATTTTAAACTTCATTATTATTATTATTATTATTATTATTACGTCACGGTGAAATTTTTTTGCAGATTGCAGTTGTGACGCTCACGGTACGCTAGAGGAAGTTTGCGATAAGGATACCGGAAAGTGTTTGTGCAAGGAAGGTTTCGGAGGAGCGAAATGCGATCAATGCATTCCTGGTTATTACGGGTATCCCGATTGCAAACCGTGTAACTGCAGTGAAACCGGAAGCGCTTTGACCACTTGCGACGCAACCGGAAAATGTTCCTGTTTGTTTAATTTTGCCGGGAGAATATGCGACCAGTGTAGTCCCGGTTATTATCAATATCCGGATTGTTTGTGTGAGTCTAATTTTTTTTTCGATATTATTCATCGAATGAGTTTTGTATTATTTAAAAAAATGTAAAAAAAAAAAAAAAAAAAATTTAATTTAGCTTGCGAATGCGATCATCACGGGTCTATCGGAGTATCTTGCGATCATTCTGGAAAATGTCGTTGTAAAAATAATTTCGCTTCTGACAAATGTAACGAGTGTAAAGAAGGTTTTTATAATTTTCCCGCATGCGAAGGTAATTTAAAAAAAAAAAATTTTTTTTTATCAATAAAGTACACAAACTTTTACAATGAATCTCGACAATGAATCTTTTTTTTTTTTTTTTTTTTTTTTTTCAAATTGCAATTGCGATCCTTCTGGAATCATTGCCGGTTTTGCCGGATGCGGTTCCGTTCCACCTGGAGAATTGTGTAAATGCAAACCTCGAGTCGAAGGAAGGATTTGTAATGAATGCCGGCCTTTATACTGGAATTTAAAACAATGGAATCCAGACGGCTGTGAAGGTTAATTAAATTTTTTTTTTTTTTATTTGATAAAGTTTTGAGTTTTTTTCACCAAATATATTTATTTATTTATTTTTTTTCGTAGATTGTAATTGTCACATACCTGGAGTTTTGGGCGGAATAGGAGAATGCGATCTTCACACGGGACAGTGTATTTGTAAACCTGGTGTCGAATCAAGACGTTGCGATACCTGTAAAGACGGATATTACGGCTTGAACGGAGACGACTTGTTTGGATGTACAGGTTTGTACCTTAAATAATAATGATTATATGATGTAATATTCGTTACTCCTCAAAAATGAATATTATTCTCTTTAATTTGATCAATTTTTGTATTTTTTTAGATTGCGGTTGTGACGTCGGAGGTGCCATTGACAGATTTTGCGATAAAGAAACCGGTCAATGTATATGTCAACCCAGAGTGACCGGAAGAGATTGCAAACAACCTCATCAAGCGCATTATTTTCCAACATTGTACTCACAATTGCAATTCGAAGCAGAAGACAGTCACACTCCGTCGGGAAGTCCCGTTCGATATGATTATTCTGAACATTTTTTTCCCAATTACTCGTGGAAAGGATACGCTATATTTTCTCACTTACAAGTAAACATAACCTTTTGTTAATAAAATTTCAATAATAATTAAAACCTTAAAAATCTTTCGTTATTCCAGGGCGAAATCATTCACGACATTTTTATAAACAAACCGTCTTTATATCGAATGATATTGAAATACGTTAATCCGACGAATAAAACAATAACCGGCACCATTAAAATTGTACCTGAAAACGTCAATGAAGTCCCTCAAACATTTTACGTGCAATTAAAACCTTCGAAAGAACCTACTTTGGTAACCGTTTCCGGTCCGGCTGGAGGAATACCCTCACCCCTGGTTATGAATCCTGGTCAGTGGGCAGTTCATATATCCATAGCTAAAACAATTTTTTTGGTAAGATTTTGAATTCTTTATTTTATTATTTAGTTTTTTTTTTTTTTTTTTTTTTTGTTCATTTTTTTTTCTCTTTTATTAGGATTATTTTGTATTACTTCCTGCCGCTTTTTACGAAGCGACGATATTGGAAGAACGTGTCGACGTTCCTTGCACAATAAACGGACCGAGTATTTGTCGTCATTACGATTATCCGGAATTGGATTTCGATACCGCAAACGGAGAAGAAGGATACAAACCTGATGATGACCTTCGAGAGCCCATACAACAGCATTACAAAGACTTTAAAGTATTTAAACTTTGAAAACTCGTTGTAAAAAAAATTTTTTTTTTGTAAGGCGGAGTTAATTTAATATTAAAAAAAATTTTTTTTTTTTTTTGTTAGCATTTGAGCACAATTCAAAAAGAATTGCTTCCCATTTTGACATCAAATCAATCAGCATTGGGCCTTGACATAAACATTTCCAAGCCGGGTAAACACGTGCTCGTTGTAAATTACGTCACACCGGAAAACGAATGGAAAACCTCGAAAGTGTCGATTGAAACGAGTACTAGCAGTCTGAAAAACAAAGGAGTCGTCGAATTGTCTCCATGTATTTACGATTACATTTGCCGACAAGTTTCAACGGACAAATTGGGACGAATCGCCATTTATGATTTCGATACAAATTTCGTCGGTTTAACGCTCAGGGTTTGTTTTGAAAATTTTTTTTTTTGTCACGTGAACTTTTTGTAAATTTTTTTTTTCTAACGAGTGCGTTATGCGTCACAGGTTAATCCCGACGACAATTCAACTTCGGTTATACAATCCGTGGTTGCCGTTCCCGTCGAAGATTGGTCTCTCGATTACGTTCGACCAAAAAGCGTTTGCATTAAAAAAGATCGCGAATGTTTACCCACGACATTTCCCATCGCTCCGGAATCTACCAAGGTACCCATCGTTCGATTTATCGCGATTAATTCATTTACGATAACAATAAATCGAAATTAATTTTCTATTTTTCAGTTCGAGTTCGAACAAGAATATCCAGAATTGATATCGAATCAATCCCCGAATGAATTTTTCGATAACAACACGGCAATGATTTATTTGAACGAATCGCAATCCAACATTGAAATTCGAGGTTCCGTTCCAGCTCCGGGCCCTTACGTTTTCGTCGTTCATTATTTTCAACCCTACCATCCAGGTTTGACTAGTTTGGTTTAATTTACACGTTTCAAATGTTTTTTTTTTGCGAAGAAAATGAAAAAGAAAAATGAAATTTTTTTTTTTTTATAGAGTTTGTCGGTAACGTTTTGGTACAAAATGGACAAATTTACGATTCGAAATTATCATTGACTCATTGTCCGGGAAATGCCGGTTGCAGGTCCGTCATCGAACAATTGGATGGAAATAATCAGTTTTTGTTGAATGAAAACTTTGTCCTTTCACTGCAGGTACGATGGAATCGTTTTACATTACTAAAATTTACATGATGAAAATGCCTGCATACCTTGAATTTTTTTTTCACGTAGAAACCCGATAATAAATCTCTTTGGTTGGATTACGTATTGGCAATACCAGCCGATCAATTTTCGGGTGCTTTACTGGAAGAAGAAGCAATAGATCAAACGACGGCTTTCATCTCTCAGTGTGGAAATAATCATTTCGATATTGGCACAAACACGTCAGGTTCGTATGAATCACATCAAATCGTTTCGAATATTCGAGAAAACGATACGAAGAATTTAAGTTCGATTCATCAATTTCAGGTTTTTGTCGCGACTCGGTATTTTCTCTAACCACTCAATATTACGACGGAGCTTTGAAATGCGAGTGTCATTATCAGGGATCTCTCAGTTTCGAATGCGAACAATTCGGAGGTCAATGTCAGTGTAAGGAAAACATAATCGGAAGACGTTGCGATTTGTGTAAATCCGGTTATTTCGGTTTTCCCAATTGCAGAGCTTGCAGTTGTCCCGCTCCGTCGACTTGTCACAACGAAACAGGTCTACTATATTTTATTATTATTATTATTATTATTACGTACGAGCTCGAGGAAAATGACTTTAATAATTATTTTTAATTGTGATTGATAGGCGAATGCATATGTCCGCCGAAAGTGACGGGATTAAATTGCGATCAATGCGAACCGAAAACATTCGGTTATGACGTCAATTACGGTTGCGAAGATTGTAATTGTCATCCGGATGGAGTGCAAAATAATAATCTACAATGTGACTTGTACACGGGAATCTGCGAGTAATTTTTTTTCTTCTTTTTTGTGTGTGTGTTGATAAGACTACTGGTGGGAGGTTGAAAGTAAAATGGTCGTGATGATGTTTTTCAGTTGTAAAAATAACATACGAGGTAGAACGTGCGATCGTTGCAAAGCGGGTCACTATGCGTTTCCCACGTGCGTGGAATGCGCTTGCGATCATAGAGGTACGACAGAAGATATTTGCGACGAGAGAACGTCTTCTTGTTATTGTAAGAGTAACGTTTACGGTTTGGCTTGCGATTTGTGCAAAGAAGGTACTTTTCACATTGACGAAAGAAATCCGAACGGTTGCACCAAGTGTTTTTGCTTCGGGAAAACAACACGATGCTCCAGTTCTAATTTATACAGAACTCTGGTAGTGTAAAATTTATAAATTTTAAATTGTTTTTAAATCCAACAAATAGCACTGATAATAATAATAATAATAATAATAATAATAAAACAAAATTTAATTTTTTTATCACAGATAAATGCTTTGGATAGTTATCAAGTGGCTGCTGTAGCGACGACGTCAAGTTCTGTTGACGTCATTCTCGTAGATTCCGACGAACCTGAATCAGATTTGGAAAATAAAGTCGTTTATTTCGTTCTTCCTCCGTCTTACCTGGGAAATAGATTAACGTCTTACGGAGGGTTTTTAAATTACACTATATCGTTTGCGACTCGTCCTTTCGGTGAGGAAACAACCAAAAACCTGAAACAAAAAGTAATAATAATAATAATAATAATAGTAATGACTTTTTATTTATTTATTTAATTAAATTTTAGGCGATTCCGTAAACGGAGCCGACGTTATTTTACACGGAGCCGATATTTATTTACTTCATTTTGCGTTAGAACGTCCGACGGAAGCAACTCCATTTTCTTCGTACGTGGAAATTTTAGAAAGCAATTTCCAGGTGATGACGGGTCTTCCAGCGACGCGGGAACAACTCATGCAAGTTTTGGGAAATTTGTCGGGTGTTTTCATACGTGCGACTTACGGGAGTTACAGAATCAATCCGAGGTTTGCTTCCGCAAAAAAAATTAGCGTTCGGTTTTAGCGGTCGACCGTTGATTTATTTTAAATTATATATGTAATATGAAATTCAGGTTGGAAGAAGCTTCGTTGGAAATAGCATCACGTGATTTTCATCCTGACGCAATGCACGCATTATCCGTAGAACAATGTCATTGCCCTCCCAACTATCAAGGTTTGTCTTGCGAAGAATGCGCTCCTGGATTTTACAGAGCGCAGGGTGGTCCGTTCGGAGGGTATTGCGTTCCATGTCAGTGTAACGGTCACGCCGACACGTGCGATAAAGTAACGGGAAAATGCATCGTAAGTTGTTTTTGTCGCAACGTCAAATATATGCTCCCCTCCCTCCCCCCTTTTTTTTTTTTTGTATTTTTAAAATTCCTGTTAATTTTTAGGATTGTAAGCACAATACATACGGGGATCATTGCGAATCTTGTAATGTTGGCTACCATGGCAACGCAACCATCGGTTCTCCATTCGATTGTCTAATATGCGCCTGTCCACTACCGATACCGAGTAACAAGTTCGTAGTTTATTTGTTTTTGCATGACCTTTCGACATTTTTAATTAATGTCTCTTGTAACTAACACGAAATCATTATTGATTTTAGTTTTGCCACTTCTTGCGATGTTAGCGACGATGGCGAACACATAAGTTGTAATTGCTTGCCAGGATATTTCGGAGCAAGATGCGAAACGTGTTCGGCTGGTTATTACGGTCAACCCGAATTGCAAGGTAGTAGGCGTGGGGCGGCGTGTATTATTATACATTTATAAAGAGTTGAAAATTTGATTAAATCGATTTTGTTTTATTACATTTTCGGGATTAAGGTGATTCGTGCAAAAAGTGCAACTGTTCCGGAAACATAAACCTGGATGATCCGTCTTCGTGCGATTCCGTGACCGGAGAATGTTTGAGATGTTTGAACAATACTTTTGGCGCTGCTTGTAATCTTTGCGCACCGGGATTTTATGGGGATGCCGTCGATTTGAAAAATTGTCAAAGTATTTATTCGTATTAACTTTTCGTAAATGGGATTTTTCGAAGGTTTTTTTTTTTTTTCTTAATCGTTTATTTTTTTCTTCCAGAATGCGATTGCGATGTTTGCGGAACGTACAATTGCGAAAGTTACACCGGACAGTGTATTTGTCGGGATAACGTGGTGGGGGAAAGATGCGACCGATGCGCGTCCGATCATTTCGGTTTCAACAGGTGTCAAGGTTGTTACGCATGCAATTGCGGCATAGCATCGGAATATTCACACTGCGATATGGAAACTGGACAGTGCAAGTGTCAGCCTGGAGTTACCGGTCGAACTTGTGACGTATGCGCACCTGGTTTTTGGAATTATTCATCCGAAGGATGTATTTGTAAGTGAATTAATCAAAATTGTTTTTGTTACGGATTTATAATGAAAAAAAAAATAAATAAATATTAATTCATTAATTTAATTGGTTTTGTTTTCCAGCTTGCGGTTGCAACACGGAATATTCCGTCGGCGTCGGATGTAATCCCGTTACCGGACAGTGCGAATGTTTACCGGGAGTGATTGGCGATCGCTGCGATCAATGTCCGCATCGTTGGGTCCTCATTCCCGACAGGGGTTGTTTCGAGTGTAATTCTTGCACTCACGATTTACTTGACACGACGGATCATTTAAGAAATCTAATAGATCCCGTAATGACGGAATTCGAGGTGAGTTGATGAGTTTTGTCTTGAAATATGAAGCATTCCTCATAAGGTAATCCTATAAATTTTGTTCAGACCGTTGCCGATGGATATTTCACGACTCAAAGATTAAGGTACTTTAATGACACGGCAAATAATTTATCCGTCGAAGTGAGTAATTTAGATCCTACGAAACTTCAAGTGGCGCCGGTTTTAAAAGAATTGGATTCGTTGGAAGCGGATTTGAAAAATATTTACAGGAGGTAAATTTTTATTAAACCTCCTTTTTTTTTTTTTTTTAAAAAAAAAAAAAAAATAAATAAATCGGCGAGATTTGTTTATTTAACCGTCTCGTTTATTTCAGAGCGGAATTTGCAAAAGAAAGAGGTGAAAAATCAGCTGTGGAGGGAGAAGACGTCAGAGTGAAAACATTAGACGCGGAAGATCTCATACGACAAGTGACGGACGAATCGGGGAATGCGGTTTTAGAGGTGGCCAATTTGGCCAACAGTTTAGACAAAGGACGCGGGCCCCACGTTGAATCCGCCGTATCGGAATCGATAAAACTCCTTCAAGATATTCAAGATAGAATTTTAGATCCGTACTACGAAAAAGCAGAATACGAAATCGGAAACGTAAGTAGGGAGTAGGAGAAGGGGGAAGGGGGGGGGGAATTTGTAATGCCGATAATTTTAATTTGAAAAAAATTTTATTTATTTATTTAAAGGCTACTTTCACGAGAGATAAAATGAGAAATTTCACGATACCCATAACGAATCAATCGAAAGAATTGGAAAAATTACGAAAAGCCATTCAAGATTTCGACGACAGGCTCGAGGATTTAAAAAATCACACGGAATCCGCGCAGGAAACATCGGATAAATCCATTCTTTTGAACAAGATAAACAAGGATGAAAAATTATCGAGTAAAGTGAACACGATTAAAAACATGACGAAAGATTCAAACGAAACTGTTGCGAATGCGAAAATTTTGTTGAAAAATGCAACGGATGCATTGGACGATGCGAGGAGCGCAACCGCGGAATTATGTAAATATTTTTAATGCAGCCGTATACATACGCACCCCCCCCCCTCTAAATTACGACCACCCCCCGAAAATAAAAAATTTTTGTTTTCGAATAGATCGTGAAAAAAATAGGGGGAACGAAGCGAAAGATCGTTTAAACGCGACACTTTTGAGCGAATCGTCCGATCTTTCCGATCTTCTCAATCCCGTCGAAACGGCCAAAGTAAAAGCAGAAGAATTATTTGAACGCGTAAGGATTATTATTATTATTATTTTTTTTTTTTTTTAATTATTTATTTATTTATTTATTACTATCACTATTTAATTTTGTATGTTAATTTTTTTTTTTACAAAGGCAAAAGAATTGAACGAATCCTTTGCGGAGTCACGTAAAAGTTCGGGTTTGGGTGTGGAAGCCGCGAGAGCTTACGCGACGATCGCCGACGATATAATCGATGCTGAAAAATCAGTTGAAAAAGCCAACGAACTTGCCGACAGCGCCATCGAACAAGTAAAATTATTTCCGTTGATAGAAAGAGAGAAAAGAAAAAGAAAAAGGGGGGAAAAAAAACGGGATGTTGAGAGTTTAAATATATTTTCAGGCTCAGGGTATCGGAGAAACAACGGAAACGGCTAAAAATTTATCACAAAGCCTACTCGAGCAAGCTATGAAAGCTTTGCAACAAGTCGAATCTGATTTACATCCGCAATTTTTAACGGCCAAAAACGAAGTGCAGGAAATTGAAGATCAAAATGCTTTTGCCGCGTCGCAAAATGACAACATTGTAAAGTGAGTGCAAAATCAAATTTAAATGAAATTGTAAAAAAGAAATAATAATAATAAAAATATTTTTTGCGGTTATTTAGAGAACTCACGACGATATCAAACGAAACAAATTTGAAAACGGCATCATCGAGAGCAATGAAAGAATCCGATTTGGCAAATTCAACGGCTCAAAACACTTTAGCCAACATAAAAGTCATAACGGATAAGGTACCCGATGAGGTGGTTCAAGCCAAACAATTACCCAAAGACATTGGAGCCATAAATCACGAAGTTTCTCAGGCTCAAAGCCAACGTGAGAAAAATACAATTATTTTAAAAGTTTATGTTGGTATGACTTATTCGAATGATTTTTTTTTTTTTTTTGCAGTCGCTCGAGTTAATTCCATTCTTCCGGATATAAATCAATTGATGACAAATTTAAAAGACACGCAGGAAAAATTAAAAGGAAAAGAAATGGATATAGATAAACAAATAGATCGTTTGAAGAGGCAAGTTGCCGAAGCGAGAGATTTGGCGAGTAGAGTCAACGTCGGAATCACATTTCAACCCAACACTTTCGTCGAAGTTAAAAATCCCGAGGATTTGGCCAAACAAAGCACGTCGACAAAAGTTTCGGCTTATTTCAAAAGTGACAAACCCAACGGAGCTTTGTTATACCTGGGTAACGAAATCGGAACGAATAGAAAATTGAAAAGGGCTCACACGGTAAGTGAGAGGGTTTTTTTTCATTTTTAACGTAGTTGGTAGCACTGGTTTGAAGTAGTTTGATTGCCGTTAAGAAATTTGTGTGAGTAGTTGTAGTGTGTTGATTGATTTGAGGCATGCTCCGTAGTAGTAAGCGAGTAAGTAGACGAGTAGAAAAAAGAAAATTTTTCTAGAAAATTGGAATTGGGTCTGAACGTTTCGGTGTGTGTATTCGGAGAGTTATGGGACAGTTATGCACGGCGTGCCACATTTTTCAGGTCCCATTGATGACTCACACGAAATGGTTAGGTCCAAGACTAATCATTTATAAACCATCTCCTATATTTCAGGATGATTTTCTATCGGTAGAATTAGAAAACGGTCATCCGGCCGTTGTTGTCGACCTCGGTTCCGGTCCGCATAGAATAAACAGCGACATGAACGTCACGCTGGGTAAATGGTATCAATTTGTCGTCGAGAGAACGGGGAAACACGTCAAAATGACGATTAACGAAGAATCCGACGACGGTAAAGAAATTAAACACGTGAAAGAAGAAGTCATACCAGGTAATTTTCAAAAAAAAAAATCATTTTATTTACACAAATATAAAGAAATTAACTGAAAAAATTCGATCGACATTTTTAGGTGCTGCCACCATTTTGAATTTAGATCCGGAAGAATCTAAAATATACGTCGGTGGTCATCCGGCATCAGCTAAAATTCAATCCGCCGTTAAATATTCTTCTTTCGATGGTCAAATGGAAAATTTGGTCATCGGTGAAACTCCCGTTTCTCTATGGAATTTCAAAGATGCCGAATATACGCAAGGAGCTCAAGGAAGGTTGGTACTAGTGGTGATGATGGTGGTAATACTGATATACATCCGAATTTAAATTATTATTATTATTATTATTAATGAAAATTTTTTCGTTTCCGTTACAGAGACAAACTCATAAATCTAAGTCCGAGCACGGGTTATCGTTTTAACGGAAATGGTTACGCAGTTCTCGACAGCAGATCGTACAGAATGGACACTCGCAGCGTTGTCTCTATGAAATTTAAAACGACCGCCAACGAGGGTTTACTTTTCCTCGTGGGAAAAGGACGATATTTCCTCTCGTTGGAAATTAAAAATGGAAAAGTCGTTTATCAGTATAATTTGGGAGGCGGAACCGCCATATTCACGACCGACGACACGTTCAACGATAACAAATGGCATTTGATCGAAGCGACTCGACAGGATCAAGATGGCGTGTTGAAAGTTGACGACATTGAAAGATACAAGACGAACGCCGACGGTAACCGCTTAACCCTTTTTTCTCTTTCTCGCAAATATCGATCGATAGTAATCGATTAATCGCGATTTTTTTTTTTAATCTATTAGGTCCCGGAAAATATCTGCACATTTCCGATCACATGTATTTCGGAGGTTACCCGGGTAAACATCACTACGACTCGGTGACGAACATGGATTTCGACGGTTGCATAGATCACGTTAACGTTGATTCCACGGCTGTCGATCTTAGCAAACACGTCATTGCTTTCGGCGTACTACCAGCTTGTCCGGTTCAGGTAACAGCACGCGATTTAGGTACCCTAATACGATTACACTCTTTAGGATACCTTCAATAATAATAATACTTTTTTTTTTGTAGTTCTCCAGCATGGTGTCTTTAAAAGAGGGTCAAAATGCTTACATCAAATATCCGAACGCTTCGGCTAATAATTTGATCGACGTCAGCCTCAGATTTAAAACTCAGGCTCAAAGTGGCATCATACTATTGACAAACACGAGAGATGGTTCCGATCCTTTTTCGCTGTTTTTACTCAACGGAGAATTGGTAAGAAGTTTGTTTTTCTTCATTCTACGACGGCAAAAAAAACGTTTGATTTGGCAACAGTGTATATATTATAATATAAAATAAAAAGAGAAAAAAAAAAAAAGAGGAGGGACAGAGGGAGGAAGGGAAGGGAGGAGACTTTAATAAGGTTGTAATTAATTACGTCATCATTTTTGTAAATGATGACGTCGATTAACAAACGTGTCTTTTATTTATTGATTTTTCTCTCTCTCTCTCTCTCTCTCTTTCTCTTTCCCTCACTCTGTTGCCCGGGAAACGTTTTTTAAATTTTTTAAATTTGTTTACTTGGTGTTTTTTTTTTTTTTTTAAAACTTGATTTGTTTGTGTGAGCGTATTTATTTAAAAAAAAAAAAAAAATGGAATTGAATTTTTCGGATTTGAAACGATTATCGGACCTTTTAAAACAACCGGAAGAAGATGAGTCGGATAGCGATGACGGATTACCGAAAACGGGTTTGGCAAAATTCGGTCCCGGTCACATAGGAACGGTTAAAAAAACAAACACGGTCATGGCGGGAGAAGGAAGTGGCGGCGGCGGTGGCGGCGGCGACGGAGGACAAGGAGATGCTTCGATGGTTGCTTCGAAGGATATATGGAACGACGAAGAAATACCGGAAGGAGTGATACACGACGAATCGGATGATCCGAGAGATAAACCCCACTACGAAATTAAATACAAACAATCCGTCACGGCCGAAGAAATGTATTTGCAAATGGGTATGAAAACTCCGGCGACGGCGAGTTGCGAGGATATGGTCGTGGAAATAAAATTACCGAAGGAAAATCGTCGACACGTTGATTTACACGTGTCTAATCAAGTTTTAGAATTGAGATCTCCGCTGTACAGGCTCTCGTTGCCGCTGCCACATCCCGTCGATGATAAATCAACAAAAGCCACGTGGAACTCCGATAAAGATATATTAAACGTCACCCTTCGAATGAACAGAGAATTTGATTTTGTTAACTTTTAAAAATTTCCCCGAGTTATTAATAATAATAATTTTGCTTTAAATTTTTTTTTTTTTTTTTTTTTTTTTTTTTGCTTTTAAGGTTGTAATGAGTCAAGGTTCGATTTTGATGTCTTCGGATTCGCCTCACTACGATGATGATCAATGGCACACCGTCACAGCAACTCACGATAATGATGGATTGAAATTAACCGTGGATGATTATGAAACGTTCAGGTACACTACCATTCAGGTTTTTTGTAATCATTTTTATTTATTATTATTATTATTATTATTATTACAATAACGTGTACATGATTTTTATTTGTGATTTCAGCAACCCCGCCGTGTCGAATCCTCCGTCTTTCAAATTCGGAAGCCTATTAGTCGGTGGAGTACCTGCGAGCAACGTTGTCAGTCTGAGTAAAGTTGGAACGTCGTCACCGTTCGTCGGATGCATCGCTGACGTCACCTTCAACGGAATACTCATTAATTTTGCAAATTCGTCCGACTACAATGGTGTGAACATTGGGAGGTGTTCGGAAGCGGATGAGGATGAAGCTGCCATCGTACCGCATACAGGTAAAATTGTTGGGTTGAAAAAAAATGGCGTTGTGACAATTATCCAATTATTATTCTGAAATTAAAAATAAAATTAATTTTCTTTCAGCTCCGTTTATTCCCACCGAAGATGAAGTACTGGATAAAATGCCAAAGTTTCCACATTCACCGAGCTTTGGAAAAGACTTCGACGACGACGACGACGACGACGACGGGGAGTCAAGAAAGAAACACAAAGAAATAGACGAAACGTTCGGAAGAGGAAGAGGTAGAGAAGGGCTTGAAGGGAAAGCTCGAGGAAGAGGAAAATGGAGAGACGGTGAAGGTGATTTTACTAAATTAAATTTTGACAAAACTATTACCGTTGATGAAGGAGACTGTGAATGATGAAGATGGTTTAATTGCAGGGAAGGGAAAAGAAGGAGACACCGATGGAGATTTTATTGGAGGAAACGAAGAGGAAACGGGAGGCAGAGGCAGGGGAATTATGACGGGTTCAGATAAGGAGATTTCAACGGGAAAAGGAAGAGGGAAAATGGGAGGTAAAGGAAGAGGAAGAGGAAAGGGTAAAAGCAAAGCAGAAGGACAAGATGGATTTTTCATGCCTGATGAAAAAGAAACAAATATAATAAGTGGGAAAGATAGAGGAATAATAGATGGGCGACAACCAGGTTCATTTGGTGGAAGAGGATCCGACACTGACGACGAGTTTAGATTGGGATCAGTGGATGGCAAAGGTACGGGAACGATAGGCGGAAAAGAAGGAGAGTTTGGAACAGGATCGGGAAGAGAAGATGATATGATGGGTAGCAGAGGAAAAGGAAGCGGAACAGTTATCGGTGGAGCAGAAGGCGGTATGACAGACGGAGATGAGTCAAGTTGGAGCGAAGGAAGAGGAAATGGCACCGTATATGGAGGAGAAGGAGGAACTGGATGGACTGGAGGCAGAGGAGAAGGAGGAACCGGATGGACTGGAGGCAGAGGAGACGGTACCGTATTTGGAGAAGGAGGAACCGGATGGAGTGGAGGTAGAGGAAACGGTACCGTATTCGGAGGAGAAGGAGGGACTGGATGGAGTGGAGGCAGAGGAGACGGTACCGTATTCGGAGGTGAGGATGGTTCAATAGACGGAAGAGGAAGAGGATGGAGCGGAGGTAGAGGAAACGGTACCGTGTTCGGAGGCGAAGACGGTTTTATCGATGGAAAAGGAATTTTAGAAGGTGAAACGTTCGAAGGTAAAGAAGGGGACATGATAGAAGGCCGTAGAAAAGGCGATTTTGTTCCGGGTAAAGGCCGTGAAGGGGCATGGGGTAAAGAAGAAGACTTTGATAAACAACGAAAATCCGATCTCGATCGAGATAGAGACGTGGAAAATGAACTCGATGGTAAATTAGATAAAAGTAGCGAATCGGGCAAAGAAATAGATGGGGAAATAAACGGTAGAGGAGGGCAGGGTGAAAAAACTGGGGACAAAGGTAAAAAACATAAAAAGTTACTCCCGACGCCGAAACCAACACCCATGGGCCTTTGTGCCTTACCCCTGGATCCAGCTTCCGATCCTAATGCGAGCTTTCAAAATGGATTCCGTTTTGGTAAGTGTTAACGAACGGTATAATCAATAATTATCCCCTTCTTTTCGATCCTGTGTGTGTACCCCATTTTCAAAATCAATCATTTCAGGGACTCAAAATGGAAGCCGAATTGAATTTGCATCTTTACCTGGAAGAAATAAAAACACGTTTGATTATTCATTGGAATTTAAAACCCACTACCCGGATGGACTTTTATTTTACGCATCCGATAAAGGTCACATTGATTTTGCCGCGCTCTACATAAAAGGGGGAAAATTATTTTTCGGTTTCAATTGCGGTTCCGGAGCGGCCCTCATAACGTCTCCCGATTCTTTCGACGATGGCAACTGGCATTCGGTTCGTATCACGAGGGAAAACACGGTCGGTCATTTAATCGTAGACGGTCAAAATCCCATCATAGGGGAATCATCCGGGAATACGAAAACGCTAAACGTCATTTCTCCCTATTATCTGGGCGGATTCGACCCGGCCATAATTGAATCCGCAAAACATAACATTCAGGTACGTCGCGTCCTTAATTTCCGTTAATTATTATTATTATTATTTTGTTTCCGGTTTCTTTTAATTAAAAACCATTTTTACAGAGCCTCAATCAAAGTTTTGCCGGTTGCGTGAGAAAATTTCAAGCCAACAACAAAGAAGTTAAACCTTCCGTCAAAAGAGGCGTCGTACCTTGTTCCGATCACACCGAACCTGGAATTTTCTTCGCATCGGGCGGCGGTTTCGTTCGAGCCGGTAAATTTATCATTATTATTATCATATCATTTCATTCGCGAACTCGCGAGTTTTAAAAAAATTTTTTTTTTCCCCCGCAGTGGATTCGTTTCGCGTGGGAACAAACATCGAAATTAAAATGCAAATCAAACCGAGATCAACGTCGGGCGTTTTACTTGCCGTACACGGAAAGAAAGATTACCTGTTTCTCCAAATGGTCAACGGCGTCATCGAATTCACTGTTGATAACGGTAGAGGACCCTTCACGTCGGCATATAAACCGGGAGACGAATATTTCTTCTGCGACGGTCGTTGGCATTTCATACACGGTCCGTAATTTACACCTGCGACACAAAAAAAAAAAATTATCATCATTATTATTATTATTGCTATCATCAATCATTATCATTATTATTTGTTTTGATTTCAGCCGTTCAAGCGAAAAACGTCATCGTTCTATCGGTGGATTCGTTTTCCGTCGAGCCGGGAATAGGAACTCCCGGATCCACGGTCACGGATACAAAGCACCCGTTGTATTTGGGGGGAGCGGGACCGAGGGGTCACAAGCTGAGGGGAAATTTAACATCTCATCAATACGTCGGTTGCATGAAAGAAGTTTTGATTAATTCGAATCCGTTGAAAATAAATACTCATAGAGCGATTGGAAACGTCACCGTGTCCGCTTGTCCCACAATTTAATATGTCACGCGCACGCGCACACGCACACGCACACACGCACACTTTTGTACACCCGCTACCATTTTATATCAATATTATTATTATTATTATTATTTTTCGTCGTATTTTTAAATAAATAAATAAATAAAACAATTGAAACGTCTTAACACGTAATTTTTTTTTTTACATTTGTTTAAATATTATCAACCACGTGATCAATGATAACCGTTGATTAGAGATTCGTCGACGCCATTTTGTTTTTTTTTTTTTTTTTTTGTTATGGGTATCTATTACGAAATTTTGTAACCGTTTAAATGTTTACACATTTCCGCGTGTGTAAATTTTCATTCGTAGTGCAATTTTATATGCTAATTTATATATACATGCGTTTGTTTTTATACCGTTAAAATAAAAAAAATAAAAATAAAACATTTTAATAAAAATGGCTTTCTGTTTTTCTTTTGCATTTTCCCCCCTCGCTTTCCATTCGAATTTTCCCATTTTCCCTTTCCTAAACCTCCATTATCTATTATTAAAAATTATCAAGAATGTAAATTAACGTACTACAACTACTACTACTACTACTAACGATTAAATAAGTTAAAAATTAATTGACATAAAACTGTCGTCACGTCAAAAATTCCTCCCCCCTCCCCTCCCCTCCCCAATTCGTTTTCACACGCACACATTATTATTATTATTATTATTATTATTACTACCGTCATCCTCCTCCTGTCAATTAAAATTTGAAGGATAATAATAATAATAAAAAATACATATAACCGTTATTTAATAAGTTTTCAAACGTTTTAAAAAAGAATCCGTTCAGAAATTTTGCGTTTGTTTTTGTTTTGCTCTCGTCCTCAAGAGCGAGCGCGAGAGATAAACGCGAATAAATTTTTTTTTTTCCCGCCAATTTCGAATGAATAAAGTCAAATAATAATAATAATAATATTAACATACGCATGGAGCAGAAATTTTTCGATACCCAAATTCGTCACTGGTGTCATTTACATCCGTACGCCATTTTATATACGAGAAACGAATACGTGCATTGCACGGAGAAAAATTTCACGTACGATCGACGACGACCGTTACGACGATTGGAAATTTTAAACGGACGCCATTTTAAAATAGGCATACTCGAAGTGAGTTACAACGCCGTTTTATTTTTTGTACAAATGATGTAATTAATTTTAGCAAGTAAATTTCCTTTTTGTCGATGCAAGGCAAACGATAATTACGACGAATTCGATTACGATTGCGGCGTGACGAATAAAAATGGAAAATGGCTGCCGCGAGACGACTACGCGAATTACATACTGTCGTTGTTGGAAGACGTTTTACGATTCGAGTAAGTATCGAGAAAGAGTTTCGCAAATATTTAAATAACAGCAAATTTTTATTTATACATACCGCAACGTGTTTAAGAAAAACGTATGTGCCATCATCATCGTCCATCGTTTGGACAAACGAAACTCAATATGGCAGAGATGGGATTATAAAAATGGCCGAAAACAATATGACGGACATAACTGCTTGTCATTGGGCCGTCTCGAACATTCTAACGGAATCCGTTGATTATTTAATGCCGACTCTCTCAACAAGGTAAACACATGATTCCTCTCTCTCTCACACACATACACATCTACCCTAATTGTTGCCAACTTAATTTTTTTTTTTGTAAAGTCAATCCTTCATATTCGATTCAAACAATCTACCATTGGGTAAAGATATACTATTGAGAACGTTTTCCCGTCAACTTTGGATATTTTTCCTACTCGCAATTTTCGCACTCGTCGTCGCGTTCAAATTCTCCACGTTCATGCATTCCCGATACGTTCGACCTGATCACGAACCCTGGAGTTGGAGCGAAGTCATTCTTTGGGCTGTCGCCACCGTCACGCAACAGAGTAAGTGAGTCAGCGCGACAGGAATACATCGGCGTGTGTCGACCTTACAGTGTGTCTTTTTCGTAGGTTTCAGCAGGCATCCGAGAGGATCCTCTTGCAGGACCATGTTTTTCATCGGTTACGTCATATCCTATTTATTGTACACGGGTTTCGCAGCCGGAATCACGTCACTGTTGGCTTTCGACGATCACGTGAAACGTCTCTCACTCGATGACATAATCAGATTGAAATTGAAACTCGTTCTTCATCGCGACGAATACCATTATTACGATTTGTTAACGGTCATTATTTTCCCCCCCCCCACCATCCCCTCCTCCCCACTACCAAAAATTTTTTTCTAAATTTCGTCGTCTTTTCAGAGCGATTTATCCACTTTGCCGATATTGTCGTACGCTTTAAAAAATGGCGAAGCCAGCCACCTCTCGCAAATTTTTAAAAAAATAAATAAAAAAAATCACGTGGGTTTTGGTAAGTTCGATCGAGGTGGCGGTGGTACCACCACCACCACCACCACCATACATTTTTCATTATAATAATAATAATAATAATAATGATCGATTTTCTTTCTTTTTTAGGAGCGACGATTTCCTTCACCAACTACTTGCTGAAAATCGATTCTGAACAAAGGAAAAAATTGACAATTTTCCCCGTACCATTTTCCAAACGTAAAAAATCATTTTTGATAAGGAAATCTTTTGAATATAAAAAAATTTTCAATTCTTGGTAAAAGTCATTCATCCAAAAAAAAAGAAAAGAGTTTTAAAAAAAAAAAATGATTCCCTCAACGCGTCTGTCTGTCTTTCTGTTCTTTCAGGTTGCTCAAATTTTTCGAAACAGGTTTGATCGATGCCGGAATCAAAAGACACGTCAATTTTCCAACGGATTCCATGGACAAACAAAATCTTTGGCTCAGCACACAATTAAATAACGTTTTCTCCGCGTTCGCTTGCCTCGTCGGTGGTTGGACCCTATCGATTATCATTTTCACGTTCGAATTGTTTTTCTCGAAAAGATGATGTAAAATTAGTATAAAGTCGTGTCAATAGAATTATTCGCGTGTCATTATTTGAAAAAGTCGCCATTTTTAAAATTTTTTTCCCCTTAATCCGTTTCCCTCCATTTTGTGTTTTTCTTTTAATTTATTAATAATAATAATAAAATTAAATAATTTATTGACGTGACAATTTTGTAAAACCGATAATGGGGAACCGCCTCCCCCTCCACCCCCTCCCCATTACCGATAATTAATTAAACGTTACGAACGAAATTAATTATTTAACGGCGATGATAATTAATCGATGAAAAATTACCGAACGGAATCAATCGTTCCAGCCATTTTATTTATATCCGCGTATCCGACCGGTTTGTATCCCGTATTAAAAATGAAAAATTTTCAAAAGGGCGCGACGGGGAAAATCGTGACGTCAGATTTTATTATTTCCGGTTGTTTTAAATCGAATTTAAAAATGTCCGTCGGAGAGTGTTTATTTTCCAAATTGAAATCACACAACAATCAGGGAGACGTTTTAATGGTAAAAAAAAATTTTTTTTTTTTTTTAAATTTGTTTTATTCGTTTAAAGAAAATCCTAATTTTCCCTTTTTTTTCCCCCCCTCCCCCTTCCCCCTTCCCGCCGTCATTGCAGAGAGAAGCAGAAACGAATAAAATCATAACCGTTCGGGATTTTTTACGATTGAGCATACGAATCGGGAAAAAATTTAAGGGAATGGGTTTAACTCGGGAAAACGTCGTCTGCTTCATTGGAAAATCCGATATCAACATGTACGCGGCAGTCACGGGAGCTTTTTTTGTCGGAGCGACCGTTTTACCATTGGACTACAACCTCTCGTCAGGTATCATCCATTTTTTTTTTTTTTTTTCAAATTACGTTTTCCAGCTAATATTTTCTACTCTTTCCAGATATTTTTAACGGGATAATACGACAGACGCAACCGAAAATTGTTTTTTTCGACTCCGATACTCCCGAAGGAATAATATCCAACCTCGTCGAACTCGTGGTTCCTCCCAAAATGGTGTCCCTCGATTCTTCGGTAAGCTACCCGTAAAAGAAAAATTTTTCTCATTTTCTGAATTCTTTTCGTTCGTTTTACATTTGCAGCCATCTTTTTTTAATTTTTCCATCGACGATTTTAATAAATTCACACAAGTGGATGATGATGACGACGGCGATGACGATGACGACGAATTCAAACCTGTTTCATTTTACAATCCCGAAGAATCGGTCGCCATTTTGATTTGTTCGAGCGGAACATTCGGCAATCCCAAAACTGTCATGTTAACCCATACAAACATGACGTATCAAATAACGGTCTGGTGGTAATGATGATAATAATAATAATTTTCTTTTCTTTTCTTTTTTATTTTTCCAAAATTTTCCCTTTTCCTTTCCTCCTCCTTTTCCCTTTTCCCGATCAGTTCAAGACTTGATATTCTTTTTTCTTTTTTTTTTTCCAATATGGCGCCGATTACCAGCGTGACGTCACAATTCAACAAGTTACTCCTTTGTCCCGCCGTGGGATTTTCATTTTTTTTCTGGATATCCGGAATACTTTCCTATTTGAGTTGTTTGTGTTTAAATTACGAAATGATCATTTTACGTGACGTTCAACCCGACGCAGTTCTTCGTGTCATACAAAATTTCAAGGTTTGTTGTCATTCGTTTTGTTGTCGTGCGTTTGTCGCTTTGTTGCTTTACTGTCAAAAATTTTGTTTTTAGCCCAGCTGGGGTATATTTTCACCATCTTTGTTAAAACATATAACGACTCATCCGAATTTTAAAAATTACGACGTGTCATCCATGGCATACATCGCCACGGGTGGAAGTTCGCTACAAAAGGAAATAGCACTTTCTTTAAAGGTAAGAAACGACCACGAATCCTAACAATTCAAGTTCGATAATAATAATAATAATAATAATAATAATAATAATTTTTTTTTTGCAAGGAATTTTGGGGACCGCAAATTATTTGTCACCAATCGTACGGCATGACGGAATTATCGGGAACGATAACCTATTGTCAACCCGATGACGACATTCTTTCCGTCGGAAGACTTTTTCCGGGAGTTCAAATGAAGGTTCGACCTAAAACCGACCGGAATCCTTTTTCTTATGATTTTATGATTTTTTTTTTTTTTTTTTACGTCGACAGGTCGTGAGCGTGAACGATAAAACCCTTCTCGGAGCCAATCAAGAGGGTGTCATTTATTTAAAATCACCCTCGGTCATGAAGGGATATTTGGGAAATGAAAAAGCGACTGAGGAAGTTTTCATCGACGGATGGTATTGTACCGGTGACGTAGGTTATTACGATATAAATAAAGTCATTTACGTAACGGGTCGTTTAAAAGAATTCATCAAATACCGGAACCGGATGGTAATTCTCAAATCAAAATTTAAAAAGTTTTTTTTTTTGTAATTCGAATTTTTATACTCATCGTCATTTTTTTATACTTTCGAGATCAATCCTATTAAATTAGAAAATAAAATTTTAACTCTGCCTCAAATAGACGATGTCGGTCTTGTGAAAATCAAAGGAAATGATGATGACGATGATGATCAGGATGGTTCGATAATGGCTTTGGTAGTTTTAAGAAAAAACGATGTACGATTAAACGAAAAAGAAATTCATAAACTTATCGAAGGTAATAATAACTAACGAGGTGACGATGTGCGCGTGCGAGAGAGAGAGAGAGAGAGAGGAGGGGTGTAAAAAAAAAAAAAAAAAAAAAACTTTGACCTCCGCCCCCGAGAAATTTTTTGTTTTCGTGACACTCAACGACCAACAGAGGTTATTTTTAAATAAAACGTTCGAAAAGGTCATCGATTCGATTGCCAAATGAAAAATTTAATAAAAAAAAAATGCCGCCAACAAAAAATCAAACAAAAACTTTTTTGTTTAATTACCTCATAATTTGATTTCATTTTGAAAAATTTTTATCAGCGACAAACAATTATTTTAATACGAACAACTAATGATAAACAAACGACGGTCATTCTTCCTAACCACTTCGTTCCCGCCCCCGTTCCCACCCTCCCCCTACACTAGTAAATTAAAAGTGATGATTTATTTTTGTTTTGTTTTTGTAGAAAAATTACCGGATTATTTAAAACTGCGACAAGGAGTTCGATTTATCGACAAAATTCCCAGAACAAGCAGTGGGAAAATGCTGAGAAAAGAATTACTCAAAATAGCTAACACGTTTTTAGTGACAAAATAAAAATAATCATTAAAAACATTTCAAAACAACAACAAACAACAACAACAACAACAACAACGACAGTAACAACAACAACAACGACAACAACAACAACAGTAACAACAACAACAGTAACAACAACAGTAACAACAACGACAACGACAACAACAACAGCAACAATAATAATAATAATAATAATAAGTGTTTTCGAACAAAATCCGCTTTCGAGCAAATTACCATTTTCAAAGGAACGAAATCAACGCATCGGATTATGTTTGTTTTCCCGGATTGTAATGCAAAAAAGAACCTTCTAGAAAAATGTACGATTTTAATAGTAATTTAATGACAACAACAACAAACCAACCAAATGGATACACTTGTCGCGTAAATCAATCGAAATCAAATCATTCGAAAATCATTCGCGGTAACGCGGAAACGCGGGAATTGAGAAACTCGAGGAAATGTTACGAAGCGAACCGGAAAAGAGAAACGGAAAAAGGGAAACGGAAACGGAACATATGGAAATCATATAAAAAATTTTCAAACGGAAAATGTCACGAGCTTGCATTAAAAATGAACGCAATGGATTGAAAAATTCGAAATTGATACATATACTCGCATTATGTGAACTCTAAACAACAACAACAACAACAAACGACAAACACAAACGACGTATTTAATTTTTTAATTGATGTTATTAAGTGCATCACGAGTCGGTAATTCTATTACAATATTATTTATTATGACTAAAAATTTTCCAATTTTTTTCCGTAGAAAACGAATAAACAAAAACAAACAATTTAAAAAACAACAACAACAACAACAATTATCCAAATAATAATGATGATAATAATTACGTGGTAATTTCACCATGTAAATTTTTTTCTTTTATTATTCGCGACGAGAGTCCCCCCAATCGTTATCAAACGACCTTATTACCTTTTTGTAAAGCAATAAACCTGCGCATTCAAAAAGAAAAAAAAACGTTTTTCTTATCAATAAAAACTACCTAGTATTATTATTATTATTATTTACAATTTTTAACATTGTAAATCATTTAAAACCTTAAAGAATATAAATACCTACTAGTCTTGTGAAAAGTTTTAAAATAAAAAAATTTTCCGTTTGCTGACGTCGACAAACAATCGAATCGAATCGAAAACGAAAAAATGTAATTTTTTGCCAAAACGGTTCGAAATATAAAAAAAATATTATCATTATCATTATCATTATCATTATTATTATTATTATTATTATTGACTATAAAACTTCATAGTCGATTTGACGATCTTTTTTCTTTTTTTCTCTTTTTTCCAGGCATTTTGAAAAATTATCGTGATTCGTAGCCTTTGGAAAAAAAGTGCGTGATCGTTATCGAACAAAATAATAATAATAATAATAATAATAAGTAGTAGTAGTAGTTGTTGTTGTTGTTGTAAATTGATTTCGCGGAAGAGGAAAAAAAAAAAAAAAAATTATGCGAGTCACGAGTTTAATTTGTTATTTTATAGAGTTCAGCACCGTCGCCCTATATATATATATATATATTTTCCAATAATCGTCCGTCGTCCATTTTGTTTACGAAACAAAAATTTCAAATTAATAATAATAATAATAATAATAATAATAATAATAATAAATATTACAACGTGGATTATTATTATTGTTATTATTGTTGTTGTTGTTGTTGTTGTTAGAACTGAACTTTGAAAAGTTTGCCTATTTGATATATAATACACAAGACAGAAAAAAAAAAAAAAAAAAAACAAAACAAATAAAAAGTGACGAAATCAAATTTGTTTTTTTGCTGATAGCACCGTTCGTATATGTACATATATATATATATCGTTTTCTCACTCTTACACGTTTCCGTCGCCATTACCATTACATGTCTTTTTTTTTCTTTTTCCGGGAGGAAAAATGGACAAATGATTAAAGGGCAACGTAATCAATTTCATACAAATATTATTAATGCCAGGTAAAAACGGAAAAGAAACGATTCTGAAAATTCGTAACAACAACAACAACAGCAACAACAACAACAACAACAACAACGATTGAAATCGCGCCAAAAACAAAATCAAATTTTTTTTTTTTTTTTTTTTTTTTACTGTCAATGAGTGTCGCGCGCGCCATTTTTATTTTGATTGTTTTCAAGTTCAAATTAAAACTATAAATAAAATTAAATTGGAAAAAAAAAAAAAAAAAATTATGTCGTCGGAACGCGTCGTTTGTAATTTTTACACAAGTGCGTTGTTTGTTTGTTCGCTCGTTTGTTTGTTTGTTTTTCAAAAAAGTGTATTTTAATTTTGTGCCGGAATGATAATATAGACAAAAAAAATTAAACATCATCCGCAGTGATAAACGAACATCTTACAAAAACTCACTCACTCGTTCGTTGGAAAAATATTTAACCTTGATTTTATTGTATTAATTACGTAATTGCTTCTTTTTTTTTTTTGCAAGGTTCAGTTACTCTAGTTTACTTTTTCTGTACTCGCGACGGGTACCATAAATTTCATCGAGTCAGTTTTCATATCACGCGTTTTAAACTCAGTCTCGTTCCGATCATCATCGCCGCCGCCGCCGCGATACAAAAAAAAAAAAAAAAAGAAAAAAAATGACGAGTTTACATGATGATGATGAAAAAATATTAAAAGGTGATTCACTATCACAAGTTCCAGAATGTTCCATCGGTGAATTGATTTTACCCAAATTGAAATCCTTGCCGAAAGATGACGTATTTCTGGTATTTATTTAATTTGACATTTATCATCATCATTATTATTTTTTTCTTTAATTTCTCTTTTTTATTAACGGTTCTGTCCTGATTTGCTTTCTCCCAGATAGACGGAGAAACGGGAATCGAACAAACCGTCGGTCAATTTCTTTCAAACGGACTACAATTATTGGAAGGTTTGAAAAAAATAGGTTTGAATGAAAATGACGTCATTGGTATGCTGTGCAAAAACGGTTTCGAAGCCAATTCAATTGTTTTGGCATCGTGGATCGGTGCTGCCACTCTTGCTCCAGTCAACAGCTCCATGAAAGTGTGTAAGTTTTGTTTTTTGTTTTTGTTTTTCCTGGAAACGTGCAAAAAACTTTTTCCTTTTTTTCCTTTTGTTATTTTTTCGGGTTTCGATTCCAGCCGAGCTTAAACATGCACTTTCCGTCATAAGACCAAAATTTATTTTTTGCGAAGATGACGTTTTAGAAAAAGTCCAGTCGGCACTCGGCGATTCGTCTTCGGATAACGTCACCATCATTCTCGTCAACGAAAACAAGGTTGGTATTTTTTTTCCTCCCCCCCCCCAATTTTTCCTTTGGTTTTTCGTTTTAAACAAAACTAAATTCCAACCTGTTATCCAAATTCCAGTTTTTTTTCCATGACGTCGAGATTTCTTCTATTTAAATTATAGCGTTTGAATACCATCAACTCTCACGCAACCGTATAATTTTCTCATCATTGCCAATAATAACAACTTTTTTGTTTTTAGAATTCAAAGTACGCAAATTTAAGATTTAAAGATGTTTTAGTGAACGTCGATGTCGACACGTATAAACCTCAACCGGTTAAATGTCCCGGGCGTCAACTTGCCGTCATTTCGCCATCGAGCGGAACTTCCGGTTTACCAAAAGGAATCGGAATCTCTCACAAGAATTTAGTCTTTCAAAACATGGTCCTAGAGTAAATAAATAATTCGCTTCAAATTTTCATTTTCATTTTTTTTTCTTCCATTTTTTCATCTTCGACAAATCCATTTTTATCAATTCTAGAAAAATCGATTTGTTCGACAAAACTGAAATCTGTTTACAACTGTCGCACTTTTACTGGATAACTGCCATTCTCATGTTTTTGAGAAGTTTAACTCTGGGAACTAAACGTATTTTTTTAAACGTCATCAATCCCGAAAACACTTTCAAAGCCATCGAAAAATATAACGTGAGTAAAAAAAAAAAAAAAAAAAAAATTCATCCGTGGAATAATAATAATAATAATAATAATAATAATAATAATCGTTATTTCCTTTTTAAATCGCAAGCCTACTTTTACAATATTGGCTCCACTGACACTTTTGGGTTTGACGAAACATGCGGATTTTAAAAAATACAATTTATCAAGTTTGAAATACGTCTTGGTTGGAGGTTCTTCCCTAACGGACACCATGCTCGTTCAAATCAAGGTTCGTTATTCGATCTCGACCTTTTTCCCCCCCCCCCCAAGATAAAATTTTCAAAAATTCACACGATTTCAGGAAGCCTGGCCGAAAATTAAATTGTACAACACGTACGGCATGACGGAAGCATCGGGAATTGTGTGTCAAAACAATGATCAAGATACGTCAATCGGTCGCGTCACACCCGGAGTATGGTTGAAGGTAAATTTTCCAAAAAAAAAAAAAAAAAATCCCGACCGGAAGTAAATGAACGGAAATGATTTTTTTTTTTTTTTTTTAGATCGTCGACACGACCACCGGATCCGCGTTAAAATCAAATTCTCCGGGCGAAATATGCATTCACGGTTGCGGCGTCATGGCCGGATACGTCAACAATGAAAAAGCGACGAGAGAATCCATAGATGACGACGGATGGCTTCATTCCGGCGACGTCGGTTACTACGACGACGACGGGAAATTTTTCATCGTCGACAGAATAAAGGAAATGATCAAAGTCCGAGACATGCAAGTGAGAGAAAGAATCCTCGTTATGTTATCCGTGTTAATTAATTAATTAATTCATCCGTTTTCCGCTTTTCCCCGATCCAGGTAACTCCCACGGAAATCGAAAACGTCATTTTGACGGTTCCCGGAGTGTTCGAAGTCGGAGTCGTCGGAATCCCACACGAAAGAGATATTTTTCATTTGATGGCTTTGGTCGTCAAAAAGGAAAATCATTCCGTAAAGGAAAACGATATACACGCAGCCGTGAACGGTGAGTCAATTTTCATTTTGTTCACATACGCAAATCGAATTTCATGGAATAATAGTAATAATAATAATAATAATAATAATAATAACTTTTCTTATTTTCTCTCCCCGTTTTTCGCTTTCAGGAACTCTTTCAGAGTATAAATCACTAACGGCTGGAATTCGTTTTATCGATTTCATTCCGAAAACGGCGACCGGAAAAATTGATAGAAATACCCTTAAATCGATCGCGCTTGAGCTTTACGCGTAGGAAAAATTTATTAAAGATTTATTATTATTATTATTATTATTATTATTATTTCATTTTAAATATTAAAAACGACAAAAAAAAAAAAAAAAAAATTGAGCGTAAAATTCAATTTGAAAATTTTTCCCGAAATTTTCCCAAATTAATGTAAAAACCAAGTAAGTGTGGAAGAACGCCTTAAATTTTACGTTTATGCAAACCGTTCGACTCGCAATCATTGTAAATAGTATATTAAAAAAAAAAAAAAAAAAAAAAAACCGCATGTTTAATGACGTAATTATAAAATTTTACGAAATATAAAAAAATTTTTTTTTATAATAACGACCATTCCCAATCCTGTTGCACATTGACCTTGCTCTAAATTTTCCCCCAATAAAAAAAGAAAAGTGTTTTCCCTCGTCTCGTCACGTCACGTCACGGAGTGATACAAAACAAAAAAAAATATATCGAACTTTTTTTCAACCGTATTATTTTTCTCAGTAGTCATTTAACTCGTAACTTTGTACTTATTCGACGGTAAACATTTTTTTTTTTTGTTCGATTTATGCAGTTTTCCTTCGTGTAAATCAGTCAGTTCGAAAAAAAAAAAAAAAAAAAAAAAAAAAATGGATGACATCGAAAAGGGAAATAAAAACGCGAGAGAAAATAGAATTTGGGGACCGGGTGAAAAAATCGACAGGGATTCATTTTTTACAGAATGTAAAATATTACACGACGAATCGAAAAATTTAGTTTTGAATTTGAAAAGTGTTTTGATTCAAGCCAAAGAATATTGTCAAGTTGACGAAGTAAGAATTTTTTTGTTTCTACATATAACAAAACGAAACGACGCATACGCGCACGCACGCACGCACGCACACACCACGTGTAAAAAAACACTCGTCAATCACTTCGCACGTGGCCCAAGACGATCACAATTATTGACTTGACTGACTGACTGACTGGCTACCACCTCATGATTAAATAATAAAATAATTTTTTTTTTTTCTTTCATTTTATTTATCGCGAAGAATTTTATGAACAACATCGATTCGATTGCATCGATAACGGAAAGAATGAAAAAAATAAGTTTATACAATAACGAGAGTGAAATTGGTGAAGAAATAGAAAGCACGCGAGTAAATCTATGGAAAGCGAGGTTACACGTTGAAAAACTGGCCATTTCAAAACTCGTCTACGATTTGGTGTACGAATTATTGGATTCCACACTCACGGAACATGCTTTAAGGTGTTATTTATTCGTTAATATACGCACACGCACACGCACGCACGCAATAAATCAATCTCATAAGTTCATTTCGATTAATCATTCGTTCCCCATACATCAACCCGAGTCATTTTCGCGGGGCGCGAGATTTCTCATTTCGTACAGAGAGAAAAAAATTTTTTTGTTGTCCTACCTTTTTAGATTGTCTCAACTTTACAACGACATTTTGCTTTTGGATTTTTCGACGGACGTAAGCAAGACGAATGTTTTCGGTAACACGTGTCCCATGCTCTTGCATCCTCTGAGAAAATTGACGGTCACGAAAATCTTGTACATCATAGCTGAAAAAAGAGCGGAAAAATGCAGTTACGGTTTGATATCGGGTATATTGAATAATTATTTCGGAGGAATCGAAGAATTGGATGACAACACGGCGGTTCAGGGTCACGAGGATGATTTGGCGATGATTCCACCACCCCACGATAATGGAGAAGAGATTTCGGAGAGTAAGCAAGAGGAAAATAAGGAAGACGGGAATTTAAAAAAATTTTTAAAGGCTCAAAATTCAGTTTCGAGTAATACGAGCGTTGAAATTTACAGGTGAGCCAAAGTTTTTATGTTTTCCTTTTTACAAATTCGCGGATGATGCGAATGTTTTATGTTTTTAGAGCTTTGACGAAACACTTGGAACAAAAAACAAAAGACAATGAAATTACCCTAAGTCAACCGTTGGAAGCCCTGTGGCGGTGTGAAGAAAGACACGCGAGAGGACATTTGATTCTATGTGCGAGAGTAGCTCCAAATCTTTTAGGAAGTTATTCTATTACATCTGCCAAAACGTCTGGTGAATTTTTTGTGTCCCCAAGTTCTCACTTTTTCCTGCAAAAGAATAATTCATTTTAATTTTTGACATTTTATCATCAGGTAATTTAAGACCTAAAAGCATTGTTAAAAATAAATTGACAAATTATTATCAACAAGTGATTTGGGGAGAAGTCGGAGGATATTTAGATCACATTCTTCTCTGGTGGAGTTCGGATCCTTTGGGAAGTTTTCCACCTTCCACGTCACAAGGTTTACGAGATTATATATCCGAAGTGAAATCGACAGGTTGTTTGTAGTATTTTTTTTTTTTTTTTTTTAGGTTCTCGAATGTTAATTAACATCTTCGTGATTTTTTAATTTCGAAAAAAAAAAAAATTAAAATTAAAATTTTTAGATTACATTCCGAATCTTTTACTACCGACCGTTCTTAATCTCATGGAGTCGTTATGCTGTCATCAAACATCCACATCATGGGATCAATTTTTTAGAAAAGCTCTCGTGTCTTCTCGTTCGATTAAAAATGATTATTACAAAACATACGGAATTCAAGTAAAATTTTATATAATAATAATTCTTTTTCCCTTTTATTATTTTCACCGCATGTTTCATCTCTTTCAGGGTTCGGCAACCGGACAATTATTTGTTGAAATGTTGAGCGATTTAATAAAGCTGAATAATTCCTGTGAAAATCCGTATGTGAGCATAGAAGAACTTCCTCTGGTCGAACAGATACCCATTTTACATCGTTTGGATCATTCTGTTCACACGGTCAGAATGTGGGTATCGGATAGATGTAAAAATCTTGCTGCCAATTGGGATTTGGATGGTTTTTACAGCTCTTGTTTTACTGACATAAACAAATGCCTTCAAATATTGAGCACTCTTGAGGTTCCATCATTCTTCTCCTTATTTCCAATCCGGGTCAAGTAAATAAAAAAAAAAAAAAACGTTTAATTTATTATTTTGAATTTGTGCAGTTGAATGATTACAATCAAATTCCTTTGAATACAAGCGTTCAAGTAACCGTCTGCATTAAAATGAGAGGAAAATTAGTATCGGAAATCCGTGAAAACGTTGACAAATTGAAAAAAACTTCAAACGAATGCATAAAAGTCTTGGCTAAAAATTGCAGAGTTCAGTGTTTGGCAACGTTACACATGTGCTTTCCAAAATCAACCTACTGGAAGCAAAACGGTCCTCTTCCAGATTGTGCAAGTGATTATGTTGAAAAATATTTGGGTAAAATGATCCTGCCCTTTTTTTCAAACGTTGGCTTATAGTAATACATGATTGTTCACAACAATTATGATAACATTCCTTTTTCCATTTCATTTATGAAGATTGCATACTCAGACCAGTTTTCACAGCAACAGATAAAATGTCAAAGGAAATTCAATTATCATCCAGCACAATGATTTTACGAATCCTTTGCGAATCCTGGCTCGAATACGTCTACTTAAATCGTATTAAATTTAGCGAGTGGGGTGCTGTCCAGCTACTGACTGATTTTGGAGCCATACCCACGTGGCTCATGGAAAGAACTCAATTACCAAAAGAACTCTTGAATTCGTTAACATCTCACGAGGTAATATGACACTAAAAAAAAGCCTTCCTTTTTTGCATTATTAAATTAATAACGTAATTGAATTTGTTTAATTTCAATTTTTTTATATAAAAATAATTTTAGGTTTTACGAAGATGTGAAGGTGTTGGTCGATTACTCCTTCGACGACGTGGTGAATCAATTAAAATGACAGTTTCATCATCAATTTCAAAATCGTCAAATGACGAATCATCAACGGATAACATGCCGGCTGAAATGTACGTTCCCAATCAAGAACAATGGCTGGAATTAAGGGCTCCAATGGGAGCTAAAATTTGTTGCCAATTATAAGATTTACGATTGAAAAATTACATTTACCTGTTTGTGAAAACTTAAAATTCCTTAATTATTATTAAATCGTTAATTTTTTTTTCGTCACAAAGTACAATGATTTACCTTTTTTTTGCATATTCATCATTCGTGTGTGTGTGTCACGGATAATTTTTTAATCTCTTCCCATCAAATTAAATCACTTTAATTACGAGTATTAAATTATATCACACAAAAATTTAAAATGTAAACTTTTTAAAATACTAATTCACACCGCAAATTAAAATAATTTAATCCTTTCCGCGATGAAAAAAAAATAACCTTCGCTTTCAATTGTAATATGATGACTTAAACCCTTACGGTTCGTCTTTGAGCAGACGACACGACGATGCGCAAAAAATGGCGCAAACCCGTGACCGGCTAGAAAATTTGAGAGATTTAGGAAATGACGTCATAATAATGGCGATGTTTACGATTACGAATTGCAAAGATTGAGCGTTTGATATTAAAAAAAAAAAAAAAAATGCGTATTAAATTATTTTTTTGCGCAATAATTCGTTTAAGCTAAAAAAAAAACAAGCAAAAAGTTTTTTTTTTATAAAGTTCATTATTAAATATTTAATAGTTTTTAATATTTTAATTTGAAGATTATGGCGTTTTTTTTTAATAATAAATCAAAAAAAAAAAAAAAAAACCGAAGGAAAATGTATTTATACTTAAAAAAAAAACTCCGCCATCTTGTTTTTATAAAATTTTTGCAATGCAATTTTCGCAAAGGGTTAATAATTTTTTAAAATTACAAAAGTTCGTTGAGGCCAAAAATTATTCATTATCCGTGTAAAAAATTAAATAAAAATAAATCGTATCAATGGTCCTTTCAACTTTTAATTATACGAACGAAAAAAAAAAAAAAAAAAAATTGGGTGGAGTTTTATTAAAATACAAAAAAAAAAAATTATTTACTTATTGTTTTCTATTTTATTTTACGGTCAATATGCCCACTCATTCAAATCACACTTCCGTTAAAAAAAAAAAAATTAAAAAGTATTAATAAACTATAAAGAAAAAGTTTTTCCTGTCAAAAATAAAAAATAAAAGGTAGAGAACGATATCGATTTCACAATTAATTTTTAATAAGACCATTGAAACGTTAAAAAAAATTTAATTTTTATTATTTAAAAATCTCTTTCAACTTTGATTCATATTAATAATAAATAATAATGGCCGTTCATCTCCTTTTTTTTTTTTTTGATTAATTTATTAATAAATTCGGATAACATTTTTAAAAAAAATTCTCATATAAATAATAAAATCCCGGTGATCTTTAAAATCGAATCCTTGAATTTTTGTTTTTTTTTTTTTCTTTAATTTAAATATTTCAAACGTTTTTTTTTTTTTTTAAATTTATTAAACTCGATAAAATTTATTAAAATTATTTCACGAATTAAAAAAAAAAGGGCGTAAAATTAAAGATTTCGATACAATCAAAACATTCGATTGATTATTATTTAACCGTTACACGTCATTCAAATTTTTTTTTTTTTACTCTATGGAAACATGATAAAAACGTTTCGCGCCATTTATCGTAAATTATCGTTACGCTCTCTATGCAATATATATATATATCGATTTGATATCCGCGTATTGATAAAGAAAATACGTAACAGCAGACGATTTGTTTCACATTAAATTATATTTAACCTATAATTACCATTTTTTTTTTAATAATAATAATTTCGTCTCGACGTAACAATAAAACGACGACATTAATAACTATGACGTCACATTTTCAAAACAAATTCATAAACGTTTTCTTTTAGAAAGGGCGTGCGTGACGTGGGAGTGACGTACTTTTACGTCATTAATTCGAAAATTAAATTACATCTTTAAAACTCGAGGGTGTTTTATTATTATCATTATCATTATTATTATTATTATTATTAGATTCGTTAGGTAGACAAAAAAAAAAATAAGATGATATTTAAAAAAAAAAAAAAGGCGACGAATTTTAAATATCACGAACGTTTATTTTTTTTATTAATAATGATTTTTTCACGCACACAACGTTGAAAAATTTAATTAATTAATTAATTTATTTATTTATAAACGTTTTGCGAAATAATTTTTTATTTCCCCCCTCCCCCCATCCCCAACTTATAAAAATAATTTTTTTTTTTTTTTTTTTCAATGTAAAACCTTGAGTATTAATACTTGTTTTATTACGAAAATAAAAAAAAATTAATAATTTTTTTTTCGGGGGGGGGGGGAGTCGCCATTATACGTACGCAAAAAAACAAACGCAAGAAAAATAATAAAATAAATATAAATATTTAATTATTTATAAATAAATAAATAAATAAATAAAATTATTAAAATGTATTCGTCGTCCTTCGTCGACCGTCGACGAATCATTTTTAATTAAAATAAATTAATTGAATCGAAGTAAAAAAATAAAATAAATAAATAAATAAATAAATTTACGGTTTCACGGTTTTTATTATTATTATTATTTTATAATAATCATCGACCTCATCCTAATCATCATCATCATTACTATTATTATTATTATTAATATTATATTATTAAGTACACGTAAGAAACGTAAAATTATGTAAGGACCGGTCATACATATCCTAGTTAATAAATACATAAATACATAAAAGGTATTAATTAATTTATTATTATTATTATCATTTGTTTTTCGATTCTTTTATGTCAATCGTAAATATTTTATTTTATTATATAATATTCGTCGTCGTCGTCGTCGTCGTCATTTACCCCCCCCCCCTTTATTATTTTTACTATTAATAATAATAATGATAATAATAATAATAATAATAATTTTTTTCGTATAAAGATTTTTCTGTAATTATAAATGTCGGTCGACCAAATTCGAAAATAAATTAATATTTTTTTATTATTTCGCATCGTTAATTTTTTTTTTTTTTTTATTAAAATTTTACGTTCCGCCATCTTTATTGATCTATTCTTCACGTGTGCGAAAAAAAAAATAATAATAATGATAATAATGATAAGTTCGATCGAATAAAATGGAGAAATAAGGAAGACTTAAAAGAATTTTTACAGGTTGTGACAAGACAAAATCTATTCAAGGATTTATTCCTTAGGGATAGAGATACCTAAAAATTTTGTAAAACGATCCGATAAACATTAAGACGAATTGTCGTGAGAATAATAATAATAATAAATAGCACGTAATCGAATTAAAAAAAAAAATGAAATGAAATGGCAATTTTTATTATTGTCCTTTTACGTGTACGTTTTTTTTTTTCATAAACATATGAAAAGTAAAATTTTTATGAAAATTAATCGAATGAATTTCTTTTTTTTTTTTTTTTTTTCACACTTTCGTAACGTTTAAATATCAACGAATGGTTAAATAATAATATTAATAATAATAATAATAATAATAATAATAATAATAATAATAATAATAATAATAATAAACGTGATTAATAAACGATATGAAACGTTTTCGATCATTTGTTTTGATTTGTTCTATTTTTATTATTATTATTATTATTTTTTGATATTTTATTCAATGCGTTATTAACTTAATTTAAAATTTCAAAGTATTTTTAAATAATGTTCGAATGTGACGACAAACAAACAAATAACAAGCAAACGAACAAACAAACAAAAAAATTCCAAGGACGAACGCAAAGTGATGAATTGAATTAAATTTTTCAAAAAATTTATTAAATTCTTTATTGGTAGGATTTTCCCCCAAGAGTTATAAATAAAAAAAAAAAAATTTTTTTTTAAAATTATTTTTAATTTTAACGATTAATGAATGAAAAAAAAAAAAAAAAAAGATGGCGATAACTAATAATAACTCTTTAATTTTTTGTTTTCGCATGATTAGAATTGGAATTTTATAAAAAAAGACGATTTTTAAGAATTTAATTATTGGAAAAAAACAAAAGCAACAACAACAAAAACAACAACTACAACAACAGAAACAACAATAACAATAACAACAACAACAATAACAACAATAACAATAACAACAACAACAATAACAACAACAACAATAAGAAAAACAACAAAAGAAACAACAACAGAAACAACAACAACAACAGTAACAACATCAACAACAACAACAGTAACAACATAACAACAACAACAACAACAACAACAACGACAACAACAACAATCAAATCTTTTTAAGAAAATGAAAAAATCGAAATGGTCATATTATCATTATCATTGTTTTTTGTTTTTCTCCAAATTAACACGAATCCGTAAGAAAGAAAACGTCAATATAAAAATAACATTAGCGAAAATTTTGAACGTTACGTCACGAGAAATTTCCAAAAAAAAAAAAAAAAAGAAAAAGAAACGACCTTAACAAACATAACAACAAGATTAGAGAGTTAGAAATTCATTCGGAAAAATAGTTATTATTATTATTTAATCAATTTCGGAGTTAAATACATGAAAAAATTAGCAAAAAAAAAAAAAAAAAATGTATAATTTCACGGGGAGCGAAACCGAATCGAATAGAAAAAAATTAAGGTCACTCAAATTGTCAATTGATATTATTATAATAATAATGATAATAAAAAAAAAAAAAAAAAAAAAAAAAAAAAAAAACGACCGCGTTGCGTATAATAACACTTTGTTAACAAAAAAAACGCGACAAAAAGTCATTGAAAACTGTACAATCACTTTTCCCCCTCCCCCCTTCCCCCCTTGTTGTTGTAATTATTATTATTATTATTATTATCACTACTAATTATCATCAAAACAATGGTCAATCAAATCATTTATTAATAATAATTAATACTTTTATTTATTTATTGAAAATAATAAAAAATAAAAAAAAATTTTTTATTTTTATTATCTATTGTAAATAAAAGAAAATTTATCGCGATAATATAAAATTATAATTATATATTATATTATTATTATTATTATTATTATTATTATTATTATTATTTTATATTATTAAAAAAAAAAAAAAAGAAAATTGATTTTTTACGCTGTGAATCGAAGGTGACGACGGTGAAAAGTTTTTTTTTTTTTTTTTTTTTACAAGCAAAAACTCCCCATGATTAAATACCCCCCCCCCCCCCCGTAAAGTAGGTTTGAAAAGAAAAAAAACTAGGCGGCGGTGGAAAATTCAAAACGGAAATACGAAAATGAAAAAAAAAAGGCGCGAAAAATTGTTTTTTTTTCCCTCCCCCCATTTTTCTTAGCGGAATCGCGAGTGTGAGAAAATTTTTTTTTTTCGCGACTTTAAATATTCCCATTTTTATTATTATTATTATTATTAAATTTCCATAATTTACTGAAGAAAAATATCGTTCGTGGATAAATATTTAAATTATTAACCCTTTAATTAATTAAATAAATCGAATTTAAAATTTAAAAAACAAATTTTGACCGCCATTTAATAAATAATTAAAAAAAAAACAAAAAACTTGACGACGACGGGGGGAGGGCGGGGCGGGGAAAAGAAAAAAATTTATTATTATTATTTATGTTTACATCTGTGGAAAAACAATAAGTAAATAAATATACGATTTTAATCGTTTTTTTTTTTATAAATAATTTCCCGATGAAAAAAATAATATATAAAAACCGTTAGAGAATAGGAAAAAAAATCGACGGACGGACGACATGGGTAATAATAATAATAATAATTATTAATTTTTTTTTTTTTGTTTTTTTTTTTGTAACGGTTCCCTTATAAATCGTTCGGATTTTTTTTTTTTTGTCACCAGTAGATATTCCAGATCCATTAAGATTTAATTATTACAATAATTCATTTTTGAGAAAATATTACGACACGGGACTACCCGACGGAGTGTACTCGTCCCTAGTTTTACTGGTATCGAGACCCTCGCAAGAAAAATGCACGGGTACTTTGATAAAAAGTAATTTGATACTCACCGCCGCCCTATGCGTTCACTATCACAATCGCATCGTCGACGAAATGACGATCGTAAAGGGGAAAATAAGTTTTACCACTTATTACAAGCACAAAGTGAAACCCTCAATGAATTTCGAAGAATTGATAAACATCGAAGAAAGGAGAACTCATCTCATATACGTACACCCGGATTGGTACGAATGGAGCGTGAACATTGCTTTCATAAAAGTCGAAAAACCCTTTCACATCGGAAAATTGTTCAGCATATCGACGAAAAAGAAGGAAAGGTTAAAAGATTGCGTGTCCGTCGGTTTTGGACATTCCGAAAATTTCAAAAAACAAATCACGTTGCAATACATCGAAAGCGGTCAATTCGCACTACGGAAAATATACGACGTGGGTCATTTTTGCCAGTTAAAAAAAACAACCCTCGATTCTCAAACGTGTTTGGCCGGAATCGGAAGTCCTCTCATATGCAACGATGAAATTTGGGGGGTTTGCGCCCTCATCGCCACGACCAAACCCGAATTGACAAATGCCGATTGTAAACCCTACGATAAATATTGTTATTATCCGTTATATCACGTTGAAAAATGGTTTAATTTATTTGCCCAAACGAACGCGAGTCACAAAACCGTAATTCGTAATTTTTTCAAAATCATTTTTCTCATTATTTTTTTAACGATTTTTTTCAATTAATTATTATTATTATTATTATCAATAAAATTACTCGACGTTTTATTTAAATTTTTTTTTGTGTCGACGACAGATTCAATCGATCAAGGTTTTTTTATATAAACGATATGACTTATTTTTTACTTCTCTCTCTCTCTCTCTTTCTCTCTCTTTCTCTCTCTCTCACTCTCTCTCTTCCCTGAAACCTTTTGGAAAACCATTGAAAGGTGACACCCTATCGAAGGGAAAAAATATAAAAAACCAAAGAACGAAAAGGGGAGATGGGGGTCGAAGAATTTGATTCCGTATAACGATATTCAAATATTCATTTGTAAAACAATGAGGGGAAAAAAGGTAAAACGTTCGCGGGTGTGGTGGGGGGTAGTGGTGGTGGTGATGATTGGGGGGTTTTGAGGGTCGTTTGTAATCGGTCGAGTTTTTTTTCAACACCCACAAACTCATGAGAAATTTACTAATAATGAGGCGTTGTCGAGAAAACAAAAAAAAAAACAAAAAAAAATTGTAACTAAAGATTTAAAGGTCGAACCTTAATATCAACCTTATACCTTGTAATATGGCGGTTATCATTATTTATCGATAAATGATAATTTTTTTCGATTTATTATAGTATTTTATTTATTCCCCCCCCCCATTCGTATTATTATTTCGTTGTTAAGGCATTCACGAAATTTATTATTATTATTTTAACAAAAAAATTTTTTAAAAAAATAGGTACGGTTTCGAAAGGTTATAAAAATCTCAACTTCCGCCACCGCCACTACCCTCGTCATTAACCTTTACTACCCTTATCAAATTACGATCTACGAAAAACGATATTTCCCCCTCCCCCCTTTCAAATTCTTCATTTAAATTAATTTTAACGTTCGACCGAATCAATTTTTTTTTTTTTCAGATTTTTTTTGAGAGTCCCGAATCCAGGAAATCATTCCGAATTTTGTTTTTTTACCCTTTTCCCGATTCGATTGGAAAATTTTTAAATAATTAAATTAAACCTTTTTAATATAAAAATCTGGAATCGAATTTAAATTTTCGCGTTTCTTTTCCTCTTTTCTTTTTTTCTTTAAATCGTAATCGATTATTTTCCACCCCCCTCTCCCCCCGTTCCCTCTCATTATTTACTTCATTTAAATTTTTTTTTCGTCCTATCGAATAATATCAAATTATTATC